TCGTGCAACGAGAACGACGTCTGAACCGAGACGTCATCATCACCGTCGCCAACAACGAGAACCTGAAGACAAACAGACAAGGAGTGGTTCAGTTACAATCCATGGAGACAAACGTTATACTACAACTCAACAAGGTCCTCATCGTCAACAACTTGGGATACAAGTTACTAAGCGTCAGCCAGTTAATGGCAAAAGGAATTCACCTGGAGTGCGACTCGGACTCCAACGAATTTCGCCTATACCACGGGAAGGGCGGTCTCTTCATCGGCCGCGCTCTACTGAAGTCCGGCGTCTTCGTGTTGGACTTCGTCCCCGACCGCGGTACCGCCGATAGCGATGGCATCGTGTCATTCGCCGCATGGACACACCCACCGGACCTTGACCCCGACTTCAACCAAGATGGATACTGGTACTCCAACACCATACCTGCAGCAGAGAGAACACGGGCGTTAGCAGTCATTCGACAAGAAAGACAAGTACCGGCAAGCGTCTCTTCATCGACATCACCTGAAATCACAGCAGCAGGACCCAGCAGAGTATCACCACCAGCAATCCGAGGACCGCCAACCGAAGCAGATCAACTCATGCCCACCACACGCAAAGTCTGCCGAAGTCCCGCCACCGTCGTCGCGTTCTTCTCCAACACCGACATGTATCACCGATCGCCCGGCCATCGAGCTCCCGACGACATCTGGCATCAACGCCTTGGGCATCCTGCAAATAGCACAGTACTACAAACCATCCAAGCCGAAGTGTTAGAACGAAACGCTCTCCTTACAACAAGCGGACAGGAACTTCGACGACCTCGCGCACGGTGCTTCACATGCCCCGAAGCAGATCTTCAACACCAACCTTTTCCGTCACATCACAATCCAAGCGCACCTGCATACGCACCGATGGAAAAGGTTTACAGCGACATCTTAAACATGCCTCGAGACGACACTGAAGCCGACTTCAAGTACGTTATAACGTTCATCGATGCAGCAACAAGATATGTTTGGCACTACAACCTCAAGACGAGAGACCAAGCCTTCGAAGCCTTCAAGACGTGGCTTCCCATCGCTGAACGAGAATCAGGAACGAAGCTCAAAAGCTTCCAGTCAGACGGCGCACTGGAATACCAGTCACAACGCTTCAGGACCTACTTGGCGGAAAGAGGAATCAGACGCTTGGTGTCTCTGCCCTACGCTCACCAGCAACAGGGGGTCGCAGAACGAATGAACCGGACCTTGCAGACGACGATGCGAAAGCTGCTCCTGGGGATGAGACTGCCCAACACACTGTGGCCAGACGCGATGACACATGCAGTTCACCTGCACAATCCGTTGTCATCATCATCGCTTCCCAACAACGCATCACCGCACCTGCTGTGGACACGAAAAAGGGGCAGCACAAAATTACTTCGATTTTTCGGCTGCATGGTACAGTACAGTCCCCACACAGCCCGAGCAGGACGCTTCACTCAACGAGCACGGCGGGGACTACACCTCGGCATCACCAAACATTTTCACGCATGGAAAATCCTCGACATACAAGACAAAAATACAGTGGCATCACGTGATGTTATCTTCTACGAGCGACTGACGCTGCAGCATTACCTGGACAACATTGCCAACGCACACGACCCCACCGACGGCCTCGCGGGCCTTCGTTCCTTCGCCGACCGTGCTGCCGAGGCTGACGCCGCAGAAGAAGACGTACCTGGAGCCTCGGAAGCTGCCGGACCACTCCTTTTCTGTTCCGTACCTGTTCCACTCGACGAAGACAATCCTCTCGATAGCAACAACCTCGACACCCTCTACCACTTCGCTGACCAAGGTTACGCTACACCTCACCCGGTCGACACGAATATCTCAGAACGCATCGGCCCCAACTTCTTACCTGATCCAGAAGATGGTGACGAAGCAGCCTATTCCGGGAATGAAAATTCCCCTCGACACACACCCACGGGACTACAAATCCTCGGCTTATGGGACTCCATCCAGCACCCGCCGCCGCCATCTCCGCGCGAGCCAACGACTCTGTCGCAGGCTCTGGGGGGGGAACATAAGGCGAAATGGAAGGAGGCAATGGAAAAGGAACTGAAAGCTCTGCAAGACTGAAACACATGGAAGCTGGTACCTGCAACGAACGTCAACGGGAAGAACGTTCTCTCGGGAAAATGGGTGTGCCGCATCAAGACCAATGCGGACGGCTCCATCGAACGATTCAAGGTTCGCTGGGTCGTACGAGGATTTGATCAACGATACGGAACCGACTACACAGAAACATTCGCCCCAGTCTCTCGTCACACCTCCTTGCGCATCCTACTCGCCGTCGCGGCCACAAAGAAACTACCACTGCGCCAGATCGACGTCGCAAATGCCTTCCTGTACGCACCTGTGGACGCCGAAATCTTCGTCGAGCAGCCCCACGGATTCATCGACGACCCCACAAAAGTATGCCAGCTGATAAAATCCCTCTACGGGATCAAGCAAGCCCCGCGGCTCTAGCAGCAGCATCTTCACGGTCGCCTCGTCAGAATCGGATTCCTACAGCTGCCACATGACCAAGGCATGTACTGACTGCAGAAGGGAAGAGAGTATATCCTACTCATCGTTTACGTCGACGACCTGCTCTACATCGGTTCCACTACCGACATCGCCACCTGGTTCGAAGGGGAGCTGAAAGGGGACTTGACACTCACGGTGTCCGACACAGTGACCCAGTACCTGGGTCTGAATGTCGTCGAAGACAACTCGGCGTTCTACCTATACGCTGGAAAGTACGCAGACGTTGTCGCAAAGAAGTTCGGACTAACATCGACTACAGTCGCGACTCCCTACCGCTACGGGAACAACAACGACACCTCCGAAAAACTCCCCGCGAAGCAAATCCGGGAGTATCAGCAGAAGCTCGGCTGCCTACTATTCGCAGCAGTAACCTGCCGACCTGACCTATCCTACAGCGCAAGCCAGCTGGCGACGCATCTGAAGCAGCCGGAACAAGAAGATCCCGAAGAACTAAACCGGGCACTACTCTACTTCGTCTCTACGCTGACGACCGGAGTTACCTACAACAAAGTAACAACACTATCCGTACAACTACTCGGATACGTCGACGCCGACCACGCGGGGGACAAGGAAAATCGACGATCGAGAACGGGCTACATCTACCGACTAGAACCTATCGGGACTATCTTCTGGCAGTCGAGCAAACAGGAACTAATCGCACTATCTTCGGCTGAAGCAGAATACATCGCCCTCTGTACTGCGACCAAGGAAGGACTCTACCTACGAGAGTTGCTCGAGGAAGCGAAGATCGCGACCCTGCCCGTCTTCTCACTCCTCTGCGACAACCAATCTGCGATCAAAATCGCGAACAAGGACGGCTTCGCCAACCGAACCAAGCACATTGCCCTGCGGTACTTTTTCGTCAAAGATGAAATCGCGAAGGGGAGACTTCAACTCAGTTACTGCCCTACGACCAGGGCTCAAATTAGCCGGGTAAAATGCCCTGATTGCCCTGATTTTTCAGGGCATTTTTTCATTTGGTCTTAAAAATCAGACTTACGAAATTTATTACCCTGATCCAAAAAGTGTTACGAAAATATTACCCTGCCGAAACTAGGGTTGCGGGGCCCCGAACCCTGACCCTTCAGGGCGTCCTGAAAACTACCCTGGTATCGAAACTCCGAGATTCCGACTAAGTCCTTGGCGGCCAGAAACATTTCCCCCAAAACACCCTGCAACCAAAAATTTCGACGAAGTCCCTGGCAGCCAGAGTCATTCCTCCCACCCCACGCACCATGCAAGCCAGCAATTTCGGCTAAGTCATAGCCAGAGTCATAGCTCCCTCACCCCCTCGCAACCCAGAAATGGCTAAGTCCCCCACAAGAGACATGCCTCCCAACCACACCCCCGCTATTTTTTTATTTTTTTTTTTCGCTAAGTCCTCCACACCACAGCAAGACACGTCACGTCGTATACGCCCTTCTGTTCTGACACCCAACCAATCACGAGCAGATGGTTTTTTTCCCGCCCCTCTGCCGCCCATGTAAATCTGATTCCCCTCTCGCGCCCCAGAATCGTTTTCCGTCCCATCCCATCCCCCAATCTCCCCCAGCACGCGCAAATCCGCTACACCCTTCTTTCCACACCTCAGTGCAGCCCACTTCATTCATGTAAAATGTTCCTTAAATGGCCAAGGCTAGAAAGGGTGCAAAGAGTTCTACACTTGAAGCAAAGACTTCGAATTTTTTTACCCTGCCAAATCAGACTTAGAATTTTTTTAGCTCTGACCGTCAGGGCATTTTTTTTTTCCTACTCTGATCTCAAAGAGTGGCCTAAAACCAATTTTGGGCCCTGCCTACGACAGAAATGGCCGCAGACTACCTGACGAAGAAACTGGCGAAGGCAAAGTTCGATTACTGCATGCTGCTGACTGGGCAGACAAACGTCACCGGATCTGAACACATCAGCACTCCAGAAACGAAGGGGAGTGTTGGAAATACCTCAAGGACTTAAGCGTTTCTGAAGTGTAACACCACACTCGAGGAAGATCGTAACGGGTACGCGAGTCAACGGAGGTTACACGAGGGGATGGACAAACAACATGAAAGGACTCGAAGGGTTGCAACTGGAGGTTGCGACTGACAGTTACAACTGCAAAGATGGTAACCGAAGCGACAATCGAGTCGCTGTGCGACTCGATAACCGCCCTTTTTTCAACTGTATTCTACAACTGCTTTACTTTCCTACTTTCTATATATTGCTGTATGCTTGTTCTTTTAATCAATCACTTGTTCTCATGTACCGTACTAGTACAAGGGTTCAATTACCTCAACTTCAGCTGCACTACTCAAGTCTTTTACAACTGGGACTTAGTCTCTGGAAGATCCTAAGGGCATTACTCAGCCCAACAACGTCTATATATACGCCACCAACAATAGCTTACAGCGGGAGCTTCGTAACAATGTCAACAAATATATTATTATGTAGATTAGCTAAGTCATATTTATTTATAGCCTACCTAGTTTAGTGACACTGCACGTGCCTGGTCCAAAAAATAAAACCGAGTTGCTGTGAACCTGAATTGGTGAATCTTAGAAGGATGTGAAGGGGGGGGCGTTACGAGAGGAAGCTGATGCAGTGATTGTCAAAGCGAATAAAACAAACAGACCAGATATCGGATTGGATGGTGCAGCACAACAAAACAAGCCATTTAGACGGAAGACAACGAGAAAGGCTGAACGAAGAAACGAGCTTGGGGAGGGAGAAAGGTCGCTGTGTGAAGAGGGAGACGTGGGAAGGGGGAGACGTGGGAAGGGGGAAGGGCGACAGGGGAGATGTGAGAAAAGGAGGGGGGGAAGAGGTTGAGTAGAATTGGTTGTCGTGGGGATTGGTCAAAGGAAGGGCTGGTTGGGTGGGACACGTGCACGGAAACATGATAGCCGTGGGACAGCCGAGTGGAGTGATGGGACAAGCGCGCGGAAACATAACCGTGGGACAGTAAAGGAGAGGGACAAGCACGCAGAAACATGATAGCTGTGGGACAGCCGAGGGGAGAATTGGGACAAGCGTGCAGAAACATGGTAGCCGTGGGACAGCGGGAAGACACCGTCTTATGGGAAAAAAAGGGAAACAAGAATTGTAAGAGTAAGGGAAATATGTCAGTGGGGAGGGGAAAGAAGTCAGTGGGGAGGGGAAAGAAGTCAGTGGGGAGGGGAAAGAAGTCAGTGGGGAGGGGAAAGAAGTCAGTGGGGAGGGGAAAGAAGTCAGTGGGGAGGGGAAAGAAGTCATTGGGGAGGGGAAAGAAGTCAGTGGGGAGGGGAAAGAAGTCAGTGGGGAGGGGAAAGAAGTCAGTGGGGAGGGGAAAGAAGTCAGTGGGGAGGGGAAAGAAGTCAGTGGGGGGGGAGTCAGTGGGGAGGGGAAAGAAGTCAGTGGGGAGGGGAAAGATGTCAGTGGGGAGGGGAAAGAAGTCAGTGGGGAGGGGAAAGAAGTCAGTGGGGAGGGGAAAGAAGTCAGTGGGGAGGGGAAAGAAGTCAGTGGGGAGGGGAAAGAAGTCAGTGGGGAGGGGAAAGAAGTCAGTGGGGAGGGGAAAGATGTCAGTGGGGAGGGGAAAGAAGTCAGTGGGGAGGGGAAAGATGTCAGTGGGGAGGGGAAAGATGTCAGTGGGGAGGGGAAAGATGTCAGTGGGGAGGGGAAAGATGTCAGTGGGGAGGGGAAAGATGTCAGCGAGGAGGGGAAAGATGTCAGTGGGGAGGGGAAAGATGTCAGTGGGGAGGGGAAAGATGTCAGTGGGGAGGGAAAATATGTGAGTGGGGAGGGGAAAGATGTCAATAGGGAAGGGAAAGATGCCATGCATGTTTGAATGGATGGAGGCACAGACACAGAGGAACTAAGAAGGGGACACGGGTGAACAACATTGTAAGTGCTGAGAAGAAATGCAGTGTGTTTAAACGGGGAAGCACTGGTGATTCGGGGTTGGGGAGGAGTGAAAAGCAGAGACATGAGGATTCCTGCTTGCACTCCCTGACTTTCTTGGTGTTAATGCGAGATAGCACCATTCGGGCTGGAGCTGTTCCCTGCTCATAAACAAGCCAGTAAGGATGTCTGGATAAGCCATGAAAGGACGATCAATGGTAAGAGCAAGCTCCCTCGGCTGTCAATGTGAGAACGCACCATTCTCCATCTAGTTGTGTTGGAAAAGGGCTACAGTCTGTTAAGTCCTGCAGATGCGTGTGTTGAGTCTTGCATGTATATGTTAAAGGCGAATCTCTAGTTAGTGCTAGAAAGTGCGTGGATATGTCTTTGAAAGCAAAGTGGGTCCTGCTGAAGAAGACTAGGGCATGGCTTCGCTGAGAATTGCAGCCTGCTGCAGAGTGCTTAGGGACATGTTGAGAAACGCCTGGGATTGTACTGAGTATCTACAGCCGTGCTGACTTTCGAGTCATCTCGTTGTGCTCAATGTCTACAGCCGTGCTCAATGTCTAGGGTCGTGCTGAATGCACGAGGTCGGGCAGAGTATGATAGTGTGGCAGTCTAGCTGAAGACGTAATGTACTGAACTGGAAACGTCTGCTGAAGAACATGTTGAGAGTGCTAGGAGGAAAGGGTTGAGAGTGGTAGAAGATGCTAGGATCTTGCTAGGTGTATGGCGTGTTGTCTAGGAGTACGTTGAACATGGTCAAGCTGGATGTCTTTACAAGGTTCGTGCTGCTGACTCGCTGAACAATGCTGGTAGATATCGGTACTACGATCTGCTTAGGCGTGATAGCTGTTGAGAAATGTCAGGTGCATGCTGGACAATGTCTAGGAATGTGCTGAATACATGTCAACAGGGTCCTGGCTAACGTCCGATGCTGTGTCAAATAACGTTAGTCTAATCGTGCTGAATAATGTCTAAATCGAGCTGTGCAGCTATGGTACTGCTAAAATATGTGAGCTGGTGCACAATACATACTGACTCAGTTGAGCTGACTGTCGAATGTGGCAGTTGATCACAGGGAGCTGTATTGATGAAAGCGTGCTAGTTAGCTGAATATCTAGGGCTCTGCAGACGAATGCCTAGGCAAGTGTAAGGATATGTGCTAGTACCGGTAGTGAATGGATGCACCGTAAGGAAGGGTGCTTAAGAATTGGAAGGGGATGTATGTGGTAGTGTGGAGGGTATCTATGCTGGGAGATGGGGTAGTCGTGCGGTAGCTGGCAATAGACTGAGGTGAGCCGGAAAAACATCCATTAAAAAACATTTGAGCACATTCCCTTCGCAGGCATTATCCTGTTCAGGTGGTAAGGGTATACTCTCAGCCATAGGGAGCTCTAGTCTCCCGAGGCACCCCCAGTGCTGCAGTCTATGTAAAAACGAAGCAAGAGGCACACATTTACACAGACCATGCACTTCCCTTCGCAGGCATTACCCTGGTCAGGTGGTAAGGGTGTGTTCTCAGCCTTCCCGAGCCCCGGGCTAGGCACCCCTAGTGCTGGTTAACACACAGAAAAAGCTCAAGCAGAGGCGGGGGTATCATCGGAGGAAGCAAGGACAAGCTCAGGACGAGCGGACAGATCAGAGACCGAACCGTCAACCTCGTTGGGGAGGCCGAGGGCCTTGAGCGCCAGGTGGGCCGCCTTCTGCCCGGACACCATCATGGCACCGAAGGTAGGACCCTGTACACATCAACAAAGAACACAGCACCCACCACACATACATACAGCACACGACACACCGGCAAGCGAGAGAACAGCATTAGAATCAGAATTGAGAAAGAATCGACAGCTAAGGCTGAGATCCGTACCATACGAGGAGCGCCGTCCACCTCAGCGACCTCCATGCCGGTGACGATCATGCCAGGGACCACCTCCCTGGTGTACCGCACAATGGCATCCTCTGCGATGTTCATGTCCAGGCACTTCATGCCGGGGACCTTGTCCACCAGGCCGATGCTCTTGAGGCGCTTCACGCCGGTGGCGCCGAAGGGCCCGTCGTGGCCGCACGAGGAGACGACGACCTTAGCCTCCATGACGTTGGGGTCCATGCAGCTCTGCGTGTCGTGGTTCATCGAGACCAGCGCCCAGTTGGTCACCACACCGCTGACCTGCAAGGGGAAATAGCACATTTTAATGTCAGGCCAGGAAATTCCGGCCGAGAATGACAGCCGCGGGAAATAAATTAGCGAGATACAGGCGGGAAACAAATGAGCAATATCAGGAACTTACGCGACCGTTCTTGATGATCAGGTCCTCAGCGCAGACGGCGTTGAAGAGCTTCACATTGGGCCTGGCGAGCAGCTTGCTCATGATGGTTGAGGTGAAGAGAGCGGCGTGCTTAATCACAACATAGTCCTCCTCCTCGTCGTACGCAATCTCGAGCTCATCGAGGAAGCGGTGCGCGGGCTTGCGGACCACCATGGCGGAGAACAGCTGGCCGCCGAGCCACGCGCCGCCGCCAGGGGAGACGGACTGCTCGATGATCGCGACATTCACGTTGGGGTTCTTGCTCAGCTCGTACGCGCACGAGAGGCCGGCGGAGCCCGCGCCGACGATGACGACGTCGGTGTCGGCGTAGGTGATCATGTCAGTCATGTAGCGGCGGGTCATCTCGCGGGCGACGATCGACTCCTTGATCGGCGCGAACTTGAAGTTCTGGAGGTTGTACGCCGCATCCTGGTACAGGGATGCGGACACGGCGGGGACGGCGCGGACGGCCTTGGCCGCCTTGGCGGGAGCGGTGGAGACGGAGTTCCCAAGGAGCTCCGACTTGCGGAGGGCAACGGCACCCTTAAGGGTGGTCGCGGCGATGGTGGAAGCCGTGGCGCAAGCCATGATTGGAAAAGAGCAAGGAGCTTGAGGAGAACAGCAGCTGAGAGTGTGATCGAAGGAGCAGACAGGATGATCAGCTCAGCAAAGCGACTGAAATGACGATTGCAGGATCTGTGCTCTTATCTTGGCTACAGGATGCCGCTTGCTTGGCCTTCGCCTTGGGGGACGCGGAGGGGAGAATGCGGGGGAGTGGGGGACGTGGGGAAAGTGGGGGAAGCAGGGAGGAGGATGGGGTGGGCAGAACCCCGAGATGTGGGGAAACTGGGGGGTCGCCAAATATCTGGCTGGCGAAGGGGGACGCCAAGATTGCTGCTGTAGGCGGAATGCGATGGGGCAGCCTTGCCAGCGATGTGCGGTCGGATTCTCCCCTGTCCCTCGGATTGAGCCCCGTGGGCGTCGCCATCTCATCACGCTGTGCATGCTGTGTCAACAAAGCGAATCACACCAGTGGGAAGTTGCCACGCTGGAACCAGGAGGCATCCACTCAGTGAGCCTACTCATCAGAGATGTCGTCCTTGATTGGAACATGCACCTGGTGATGCCATGTCAGAGGGATCAGCTGCTTTGTTCTTGTATCGAGCTTCTTTGACAATCTAGGATAAAAAAGGCCCAACACTACACTTCAACTCCCAATCCCTAAGTGTTCAGAAACGCTAACTATGGATGACCACTGCTAAATGGATTGTATAATACAAGTATACTCGCTCTATAGCATATCATTGCTGTTTGCAACCATTGATATTTAAATTGCGGTGAACACATTTGCGTGTCATGTCATGTCGTCACAAAGATTGATCGTTCACCAACTGCCGCTGAATTAGCAGCTCTATTGCTTCCGAAGTCCCTCTTATTGGCCTCCTTCGCAATGCGAGATCCAAACTAAAAAGTATTGCGGAACACCATATAGTATAAAGAGGTGCGAAGCATGGATGAGAAAGAAATAACAGGTAAATGCTCGAGGAAAATGCGAAAGTAGAGTATGGATAACGCAAATGGTGTGGATAGAGGAGCTGGGGATAAGTTACATTAGGAGCAGTAGAGGCGATTGAGCAGCAACACATGCCGATATGAACATGTACTAGCCGTTGTAACCATGGCTCTTACAATACAGAGCATTCAATCACAGCAAAAGATATACACCACACCTGGATGGCTCGTTTAGGCAATGCAGCAGCTCCTCTAAGACCCAGCTTGCAAGCAATCTGGCCAAGGATGTAGTGATGATGCGGAGAGGATGAGGGGAATAAAAAGAGGTGTGGGAGAATCTGAAGTTCATTCACTTTGCAGAAGCGAGAAATTTAAGAGTCAACAATATGTTACATCAGGGTTACCACATCGCTGCCACGATGTCACAGAAGGGTGTGTCACCGTCATGGTTTAGGGCCAGGAACTCACCAGGCGCAGAATGAGCTTGTTCGCTCTGCCTGACGCAAGGTGATTTTGGTCATGAGAGGCAGGATGCCTCTCTGGTCTGATTTCAACGGAGCATACCACGAGCTAGGGTTTCTGGTTTCAGCCCCACCTGTCGCAGTATGAGCTTGTCCCCCGTGCCCGGTGGGAGGTGCAGGTCGGTGATGCGGGGGAGAGGCAGGGCCAGCAGCGCACTCATCACTCCCTCGTCAAGGAAGGGGAAGCGCGGCTGGATGGGAGGGGGGCCGGGGGGGGGTGTGTAAGAAGGCAGTAAAGAAGAGGTTTCGGGGAGGTGAGCTTGTGGGTGAGAGGCAGAGGGGGAGACAGGGACAGGGACAGCAGCGCACTCATGCCTTCCTCGTTCAGGAAGGGGAAGCGAGGCTGGTGGGGGGGGTGGCAGGGGGTTGAGGAAGTGTGTTGAGGGGTTAGGGGCCTTGAGGGGATCAGAGGAAGAGGCAGGGCTAGCAGCTGCGGCTGGCCCCGCCTCAGCGCACTCATCACCCCAACGTCCAGGAAGGGGAAGCAGCACTGGCGGGTGGGGAGGGGGAGGGAAGTGACGTTTGTTTCGGAATACGTGAGGGATGAGGAGCATGAGGGAAAGAGGGAGAGCCAGTAGCGCACTCATGACACCTTGGACCGAGAAGGGGAAGCGCGGCTGGTGGAAGTGGTGGTGGGTAACAGGCAGGCACTAACAGGCAGGCACTAACAGGCAGGCACTAACAGGCAGGCACTAACAGGCAGGCACTAACAGGCAGGCACTAACAGGCAGGTACTAACAGGCAGGCACTAACAGGCAGGCACTAACAGGCAGGCACTAACAGGCAGGCACTAACAGGCAGGCACTAACAGGCAGGCACTAACAGGCAGGCACTAACAGGCAGGCACTAACAGGCAGGCACTAACAGGCAGGCACTAACAGGCAGGCACTAACAGGCAGGCACTAACAGGCAGGCACTAACAGGCAGGCACTAACAGGCAGGCACTAGAGAAAGGGCTTTAGAAAGGCGAGGGTGTGGATGCGAGGCAGGAGGAGGAATTCGAAAAGGAGAAAGGCAGCGAGTAATGCGATGATCAAGCAAGCGTACCTCTCTCCCGTGGTCCGACAGGCACCGGTCATCCCGACCCAGGTTGCGGCGCCACAAGCGACGCACGTCCTCCCGCATCTCCGTTTCAAGGAAAGGCCAGCTGGCGAGACAGGGAGGAGGGTGTAGGACACATAGGAAAGGGGGGGGAGAGGACAAGGGAAAGAGGAGAGGAAAGAGGAGAGGGGCGGATGCAACCACAGGCGCCACAAGCGACGCACGTCCTCTACGCATCTCGTCAGCAACTGGGAAAGGGAAGCGGGAAAGGGAACTGGGAAAGGGAAGCGGGAAAGGGAACTGGGAAAGGGAAGCGGGAAAGGGAACTGGGAAAGGGAAGCGGGAAAGGGAACTGGGAAAGGGAAGCGGGAAAGGGAACTGGGAAAGGGAAGCGGGAAAGGGAACTGGGAAAGGGAAGCGGGAAAGGGAACTGGGAAAGGGAACTGGGAAAGGGAAGCGGGAAAGGGAGGCGGGAAAGGGAACTGGGAAAGGGAAGCGGGAAAGGGAACTGGGAAAGGGAAGCGGGAAAGGGAACTGGGAAAGGGAAGCGGGAAAGGGAACTGGGAAAGGGAAGCGGGAAAGGGAACTGGGAAAGGGAAGCGGGAGATGGGGAAGATGTACAGAAGATTCCGAGCCAACGTGCTCTCAACTTCGCAGCTTCATTGAAGCGCTTTGCCAACTACTACCTCTAGCTGTGAAGTCCGAGAAATTCTCATGCAGAAGGGAGAATCCAGCAGCGCAGAAAGTATTGAACGTCTGGATTCTCCCTCTCTGCATGAGTATCTTCCGGACTTGACAGCTTAAGGTAGAAGCTGGCAAAGCGCTACACTGGAGCCGCGACATTGAGAACGTGAGGGCTCGAACTTCAGGAGCGTAATCGACAAGGAATGAAGTAGACACAGTAGGTAGTCTGTCAGTTTGACCCTTGGCTTGCTGATGACAGGCAAGGCATCACTGGCCGAAGCGCGTTCGCTTCTCACGTGCCGTCCGAGCCTATTGTACATGGCTTTCTGACTAAAGACTCTTTATGCAACTTTCCTCCTCTCCTAGGTTGGTGTTAGTTCTACATCTATTCTCAGAAGGCTTGCTGCGGACGAAATCCATCGCGTCCAACGCACGCGACAATGGCATTGGAGCTTCCCACGCACGCCCAGGCACTCCTTTCTGCAGCACCCCTTTGTACCACTTACCACGCCTGCCACACCGCTTACCCTCCTTGTCTGAATTTTGTCCTGTAACGAGCATAGCCCCCACACTGCTCATCCGCTCCTGTTCCCACAAGCACCACTCGTGCTCGTGCTCTGTACCCCTCACCCCTCGTCATCCCTCTGCACCCCTCTTCCTGTCCCCCCTCTCCCTCTTCCTTCCCCACCCCCCCCTCCCCCCCATACTGCACCATCCTCCCCTCCCCCCTGGCAGCCAGCCACAGTGCTGCACCTATGTTGAGGTCCTGGGGGATGGGAAGCAGGGGAGAATGGGGGGACATGGGGTGGGGGACATGGGGTGGGGGACATGGGGTGGGGGACATGGGGTGGGGGACATGGGGTGGGGGACATGGGGAGTGGGGGAAATGGAGTGGGGAAAATAAAGTGTGTCATGACACACCATGACACACCATGACACACCATGACACACCATGACACACCATGACACACCATGGTACACCATGGCACACCATGGCACACCATGGCACACCATGACACACCATGGCACACCATGACACACCATGGCACACCATGGCACACCATGGCACACCATGGCACACCATGGCACACCATGGCACACCATGACACACCATGACACACCATGACACACCATGACACACCATGGCACACCATGGCACACCATGGCACACCATGACACACCATGGCACACCATGGCACACCATGGCACACCATGACACACCATGACACACCATGACACACCATGACACACCATGACACACCATGGCACACCATGCCACACCATGCCACACCATGGCACACCATGGCACACCATGGCCCACCATGACCCACCATGACACACCATGACACACCATGGCACACCATGACACACCATGACACACCATGACACACCATGACACACCATGACACACCATGACACACCATGACACACCATGACACACCATGACACACCATGACACACCATGGCACACCATGACACACCATGGCACACCATGGCACACCATGGCACACCATGGCACACCATGGCACACCATGGCACACCATGGCACACCATGGCACACCATGGCACACCATGGTACACCATGGTACACCATGGCACACCATGACACACCATGGCACACCATGGCACACCATGACACACCATGACACACCATGACACACCATGACACACCATGACACACCATGACACACCATGACACTCCATGGCACACCATGACACACCATGGCACACCATGACACACCATGGCACACCATGGCACACCATGGCACACCATTGTTCGAGATAGGCTGCAATTCGGTTAACCCAACTTTGTGTGTTGGCACTTGGTTGGTTTTAGGGATACACAAATTTGTTAGGTTGGGTGTAGCTATGTTTTCATCCCCAACCTATCCCAACCCAATCCATCCCAAATCCCCACGATTTGGGAGGATTCCCTTGGGATTCCCTTCGATTCTCCCTTATCCCTTGCCATCCTCTCCGATGCTCGGTACTTAAGGATGTATGCCCTTGCTCATTTTAATTAATCAAGTTCTCAGTTTCTGATATGGTATCAGAGCTCGTTTCTGCCTAAGCGGCTCTTGATCCTCTCGCTCCGTTGGAGCTTAGCATTTGCGTCTTACGACGCAAAGCTTTTGTAGTCGCCTCAACTCAGCGCGGCGCTTCTCCTCGGGCTGACGCCCGTCGCCACGCATCTGCTCATCGCACCTGATCGGGCTGAGCCCGTCGCCCCGCATCTGCTCGTCGCACCTGATTGGGCTGAGCCCGTCGCCCCGCATCTGCTCATTGCACCTGATCGGGCTGAGCCCGTCGCCCCGCATCTGCTCGTCGCACCTGATTGGGCTGAGCCCGTCGCCCCGCATCTGCTCGTCGCACCTGATCGGGCTGAGCCCGTCGCCCCGCATCTGCTCGTCGAAGCTGAACGGGCTGTCGCCCGTCGCCCTTGCAACAGCGGGGGGGTGCAGCGGCGAAGCGGAAAGGGGGCAGCGGCGAAGCGGAAAGGGGGTAGCGGCGAAGCGGAAAAGGGAAAGGGGGGGTGGTCGCGGAGCAGCGGGATTGCAGCAGCATATCGAGAATTGATAAAGATTTCGGCGATCAGATTTCCTTCTTAATCGGCCGTTTTCACTCTCCGAGCGTTGAAAATCCGCAAAAGAAAATCCGAAGTGCCTATCGGCGACTTAAGAGCTGCGCTTCGCGCTGAGCTAGGGTCCTTGGAGCATCATGGCATACCCTTCCGCGTCTCTCTCAAACCCGATCACTCCCTTGCACCTCGACCCAAATGGCTCAAGCCCTAACTTCAAGGAGTGGAGCTATGGAGTTGACAAGCATCTCCTAAGCCGCAAGATTGAGGGGATTTGCCTCAAGGATGTCCTCCTCAATCGCGGCAAAGGAAAGATGCCGGTCCTTCCCAAGAAGCTCTCAGCCACGGCCACAGAGGAAGAGTCAAAAGCGCATGAGGAATCCATGTCCAAGTATGAGGAATCTTACAGCGTGTGGGAGCAAGCCGACGCCGCTATCATTGGCGTCTTCGTCGGCACTACCCCTTCCGAGCTCGTCAAAACTTACCATAACTACCCCTCCGCGCACGCCATTTGGGAGTACCTCAACGACCGCTTCCTCAACAAAACCGCTGTGGGGGTGGCGATACTCATCCCCCGCATGTTTCAAGTGCGTCTGGAGGAGTGCCCTGGAATGGCAGATTACGTCGCTGAGATTCAAGGGATTCATCAAGAGCTGAAGCAACTCGGCATTGTCTTCCCAGAGCAAGCCCCTGCAGCAGCTCTGCTTGTTGGGCTAACCCCCTCCTACAATGTCACCCGCTCCATGCTTCTCCATCTCCCTCCCCTTTGCCAAAGTCTCTTCCGCACTTCTCTCTGCTGAAAAAGACAACACTGCGCAGGCTCGTGCAAATGCGCTTCGCGCTCCTGTCCCGGCTCCAGCATCGCGTCCCAATCCGCCACCCACTCGTAACCGCTACCCACCCTGTCCTTACGTCATCAAGATGGGACCCCGTGCGGGTCAGGTGTGCGGCGGCACCAATCACCCGCTCGCCACCTACTTCAAGAAGAAGGACGACGATTGGTTTGCCAAGAATGGTATCAACTCCAAGCCGCCCAACTGGCTTCGCATGCGCCAGCTCAACCATGTTGAGGCACAGGATAGTCAGGACTAAGCCGTTCATGCCCCTAGTCCTGATGTTCGTCTCAACCTGTTGTTCCCTGGCCTTCCCATGATCAATGAAACCAGTTCCCAGTACTCGGCGTCTCCACAAACACCATCCAAACCACTTGAATTCGTCCTGGACAGCGGCGCAACCCACACAGTCCTCCGAGACAAAGAGTCTTTCAAACCATACCAAGCACCCATTCCTCTCCTGGGCGCTGACTCCAGCTTCACAACTGTTGCCCATGGTTCCTCCACTCTTCCATGCCCAGCCTTCCCATCTGGCACAGTCACTGGCATATGCGTGCCCACTCTTCGGCACAACTTACTTGCACAACATGAGATTCAACGAGCAGGGGTAACCACTATCTTCCCAACTCATTCCAATCATTGTGATCTCCTTGATCCCACCAACAATGCCCTCCTTGCACGCTTCATTCTGACCGCCAACAACCTCTACACACTCCAAGTACCTCCATCTTCCACTGAAGCACACTCTACCTCCACCACATCATCGTGCTCCTGCCGTCAACTCACCGACCCAACCATTCTTTACCACCATCGTCTCGGGCATCCCAACTTCCGCATGCTCTCCGAACTTGCATCTAAGAAGTTGCTTCTTCACCTGCCCGACACACTTCCTCCACCCGCCACTTCTCCCGCTCCTCCATGCTTGGACTGCGCGCAAAGCAAACTACGCCAGCTGCCTCACCCTTCCTCGCCCTCTGCTGCAGCCGCCCCGCTTGACCTCGTCCACATGGACGTCTGGGGCCCAGCTCCACTACGCTCTCGTGGCGGGCACTTTTACTTCCTAGTGCTCGTTGACGATCACTCTCGCTATGCGTCCGTCCACCTCCTCTCCTCCAAAGCAGCTGTTCCCGATGTCATCATCGCATGGGTTCGACAAGCCCAAAATCATTTCCGCACTTCAGTCAAGTGCCTCCATTCCGATGGCGGTGGCGAATTTCGAAACCATTCCCTTCAAGCGTTCTGTGCCTCCCAAGGCATTCGCCAGACCTTCACCCTTCCCCACAGTCCGTAGCAGAATGGCATTGCTGAAAGTCGCAATCGCACTCTCGTGCAAATCGCTCGCTGTCTTCTCACTCACGCTGGTGCACCACCTTCACTTTGGAGTTACGCCCTCCTTCATGCCACGCTGCTGTACAACCTTCACCCTCACCCTCTTCGTCCTGCCATCACTCCCGCTGAACTGTGGACCGGCACCAAGCCCAGTGCACGTGCTCTCCGCGTATGGGGGTGTACCACTTATGTCCTCCTCAACCCTCAGGAACGTCGCACCCATGGCAGCAAATTTGCACCCAAAGCTCAACCCTGTGTCTACCTCGGCCACAACCTGGACTCTCCCGATTACCTCTTCCTCAATCCCTCCACCAATCAGCTCATTCGTAGCCGCGATGTCGCCTTTGACGAGAGTCGCCATTTTTACCTCTCTTCACCACCCCCCACCGCTCCACCTTCGCTTGTGTGGGCCGATTTCGATACTTCACCCTCTCCACTTCCTCCCTCTGCCGCTCCTCCTGCCGCCCCCTCACTCTCACCTCCACCATCTCCTTCCACTCTCTCTCACCCCCCTTCGCCCACTGGCTCAGTTGCCCGTTCACCTCCGCCCTCGCCTGCACTTCCCCCTGCACCCGCTCCTGCAGCTGCCCCTCCACCTCCCTCTCCTTCTGCGCCTCCCCCTGCCCCTGCACCTCCATCCCTGCCTTCACCTCTGCTTCCGCCTCCAACCTCGACCTCTCCTCCTGACTCGCCCATCACCTATCGTCGCCGCCGCCACGGACGCTCTTATGTCGACGTCCCACCTGCTCCCCAACCACCTCCCTCCTCTCCTGTCCCTATTGCTCACCGCACCCGCTCTCATGGTCCCGCTCCGCCTCTCGCCCTCTCTGTTCGCATCTCCCTCAATCCGCCTCTTCCTGCTGGGGGTGCATCCATGCCTGGCCTCTTGGAGGATAGGCATGAGGAGCTGATCGAAATCAATGCTGCCATCCGTCAGCTCTGCCATCTTTTCCCCGATCTTGCCGACTCTCCAACTCTTAACTTCTCGGAAAATCCATCCATTCCAACCCCGAACTCGTATGATGAAGCCATCTCCGGACCACACTCCCCCCAGTGGCTCGCAGCCATGATCGCGGAGTGTGAAGCATTCATTCGCAACAACTCTTTCACGGACGTCTCTCCTCCGCGAGGAGTTAACATTGTCCGTGGCAAATGGGTTTTTCGCGTCAAGCAGCTGCCTGGCGAACTCCCAGTCTTCAAGGCACGATACTGTGCAAAAGGCTTCACGCAGAAGAAAGGCCTGGACTTCTTCGACACATTCTCTCCGACAGCCAAACTGCCCACGCTTCGGACCCTGCTGGACATCGCTGCTCGATGCAACTTTGACATTCACTCCATGGACGTCTCTGCTGCATTTCTCCAAGGGGATCTCCCCGAGGACATCTACATGGAGCGTCCTCAAGGATTTCCCTTACCCTTTCCACCCGGCACGGTTTGGAAGCTGAATCGATCAGTCTACGGGTTGAAGCAGGCTCCTCGGGAATGGCACAAGAAGCTGAAGGCAACCCTCGAGTCACTCGACTTCCACCCCTCCTCAGCCGATCCGAGTCTCTTCATTCGCAAGAACGAGCACCCGTTCTTCATTCTTGTGTACGTTGACGACATGATTCTCGTCTCCAAGAACTCCGATCAGCTGGCAGCTGTTAAGCAAGCTCTTGGGGACGCTCTCGCCATGAAGGACCTCGGGGAACTCAAGAACTACCTTGGGATGGAAATCTCGCGGGATCGCGAAGCTCGGACCATCACTCTCTCTCAAGAGTTCTATGTGAACAATGTCCTCAAGCGTTTTGCCATGGACAACGCCAAGCCAGTGGCCACTCCCCTTCCCTTGCAGCATGCTCTGACCACTCCATCAGTTCCATCGCCTGAGCCTTGTGATGAGGCATACCCTGAGCTCGTCGGATCACTCATGTATGCGATGATGTGCACAAGGCCCGACCTCGCCTACCCCATCAGTGTGCTCTCGCGTTACGTTGCTGCCGGTCGATACACCAATCGCCACTGGTCGGCTGCCAAGCGCGTCCTTCGCTACCTTCAAGCCACCAAGGACTACGTCCTCACTCTCGGTGGCACGACCCCTCCTCACCTCGAGGGATACAGCGACTCCTCATGGGCTGATGATCAAGCTGACCGCCGCTCTTCCCAAGGCTATTGCTTCACCCTTGGCAGTGGTGTCATCAGCTGGCGATCTACACGCTCATCATCTGTCTCGTTGTCATCTTGTGAAGCTGAGCTATACGCAGGCACCATGGCAGCCCAAGAAGCTCGATGGCTTACCTACCTCATGGCTGAGCTCGGGTATCCTCAGCAGACCCCAACTCTGTGGTGTGATAACGAGAGCACCATCCACCTCACCAAAGACCCTGTCTTCCACCAACGAACCAAGCATATCGAATTGAGACACTTCTTCATGCGCGAGCTCGTCCAGCGAGGGCAGTTGTGCGTCAAGCATATTTCCTCTGACTGCAACCTCGCCGACTTGTTTACGAAGGCTCTTGGACGCCGTGATCACTATCGTCTCCTCCGTACCATGGGCCTTGGTGTCTCTACGGCTTCCGACGTTGCAGCCTAGGGGGTGTGTTCGAGATAGGCTGCAATTCGGTTAACCCAACTTTGTGTGTTGGCACTTGGTTGGTTTTAGGGATACACAAATTTGTTAGGTTGGGTGTAGCTATGTTTTCATCCCCAACCTATCCCAACCCAATCCATCCCAAATCCCCACGATTTGGGAGGATTCCCTTGGGATTCCCTTCGATTCTCCCTTATCCCTTGCCATCCTCTCCGATGCTCGGTATTTAAGGATGTATGCTCTTGCTCATTTTAATTAATCAAGTTCTCAGTTTCTGATAACCATGGCACACCATGGCACACCATGACACACCATGACACACCATGACACACCATGACACACCATGGCACACCATGACACACCATGGCACATCATGACACACCATGACACACCATGACACACCATGACACACCATGACACACCAGGACACACCATGGCACACCATGACACACCATGACATAACATGACATACCACGGATGGAATGGCATGTACCACGTGCGTGTGAGGGGCAGAGCAGCAGGGGGAGCAGGTGAACTACGTACATCTATATGGGACAGTAAATCACGCCATGGCATGCCATGACATACCATGATATGCCGCACACCGTGTGCGTGCGTGTGAGGGTCAGAGCAGGGCGAGCAGGTACGTCTTGGCATTTACCATGTACTACGGGATTTACCATGTACTACGGCTTGGCATGTACCTTGTGGCATCGCATGTGGATAAGTAGGTTCTTTGTTTTGAGACGCCTCAAAACTTGACGTATACGATGTACCTTATGGCATGGCACGGTACCACACACCATGGCATTATGGCATACCATGGCATGTCATGGCGCATACCATGTGGGTGTGCGAGGGGCAGAGCAGGGCGAGTAGGTGCCTCTTGACTTGGTCAACTTCATTGAGAGTTGAATCCACCTCCACCAGGTGCCACCTGGTGCACAAGTAACAGACACAGAAAAGAGCAGACTTGGAGGGTGATGATAGAGTCTGTTTCACTCGCCCTCCAACCAAGTCTGCTGCTTTGCGTGCATGTGGGGAGAAGCGCTGGTCTGAGCGCCTAGCGTAGGATTTGCTCAGTGCAGCGCATCTCCTCACATGCACGCAAAGCGGCAGACTTGGAGGGCGACGGCAGAGTCTCAGCAGAGCAGTTGCAGGAAGAATACACAAAGCGTACCACATCCCCCCTATCCCAGCTTAAGAGATGCGATGCGAGTAGGTCCTATCCCACTCCACTGGGAAGCATGGATCGTTGCACATTCTCCCATACCTCCTCTCCTCACATGTCGTATCGTATGCACAATGCTCATCTCCTCAATCCACGTGTCACCTCAAATCAAATCACTCAGAACACACATAACACTCTATGGGTTGTGCATTACAAAATTCCCCTTAAACAGAATACATAACCACCATCACTCCCACTGGCCGACCATGTCTCTGACCTCTCACCTCCTCCCCTCACATGCTCGCTCCCATGAGTTCTCCCACTCCCTGTCTCGCTGTCTGGCTGTCCGGTGCTGCTGCCCCCCAAAAGCTCACAATCAAGAGCCGGCTTCCTCCCCCATGCCCGGTGCCTTTCTCGCCTCCTCTCCTCACATGCCGCCATGAGTTCCCTCGCTCCCTGTCTCGCTGGCCGCCTGTCCGGCGCTGCTGCTCCCGCAAAGCTCAAATTCATGGGCTAATCTCCCCCCCGATCCCAGCCTCCATGTTCACCCGTCACATTGTTTAAAAACGATCGCCTCCCCCATCACATTGTTACACTTTCACTCGTCTAAAAAATACTCATCTTCGCCCTTCACATGCCCCCATCAGTTCCCTCACTCCCTGCCTAGTTGTCTGCCTATCCGATGCTGCTGCCCATGCGAAACTCACATTCAAAGGCTGCTTCCCCCCCAACCCTCCCCTCCTGTCCCCCGTTCGTCTCTCTCACCTTCGCCCTTCACATGCTCCCATCAGCTCCCTCACTCCATGTAAGGCTGTCTGCCTGTCTGGCGCAGCTGCCCCCGCAAAGCTCACATTCAAGAGCTCAATGGGGCCTATGGTAGGGATGTTCAGGGCGGAAAGGAGGTGTTAAAGAGAGAAAATGAGGCTGGGTAAGAAGGAAGAGGGAGGAGGGGTAGTTGAGAGACTTTACACTCGAATCAAAAGGCGGGAAGGAGGTGTTAACGAGAGAAAATGAGTGTGATTAAGAGGGAAGAGAGAGGAGGGGTAGTTGAGAGACTTTACACTCGAATCAAAAGGCGGGAAGGAGGTGTTAAAGAGAGAAAATGAGTGTGATTAAGAGGGAAGAGGGAGGAGGGGTAGTTGAGAGACTTTACACTCGAATCAAAAGGCGGGAAGGAGGTGTTAACGAGAGAAAATGAGTGTGGGTAAGAGAGAACAGAGAGGGAGGGGGGAGGAGGGGCTGTTGAGAGACTTTAGAGTCGACGCAGACACTCACTCAGAGCTGAACACAACAAAGCGGCATTTTCCCAAAAGGAATGAGGAGCAAGAGGGGGAGAGGAGGGAGGAGGGATTGTTAGGGAGAGAGCCTATAAGAGACTTTACAAAGCAGATCCCAATACATTGTAAGACTTTTGTCGATTTGTAGGTTCACTTGTATGAACATGCAGAAGAGAATAAGCAATCGTTTTGCGACGAATTGGCTCGAAAACACCAAAATAGTAGTATCAATATTCTCATTAATAATCACGACGACACCAATACCACTTACGATGAATGGACACGTGTCGATGAGCTAGAGCAGCCAGCAGCATGGAGTCCAGCCCCCCTGAGAACAGCACAGCTACAGGTGCCACCTCAACTTCTTTGTACCTCTTCTCAACTACACCTGCCACTGGCACTGTCACTGCCGCTGCCACTGGTGCCACCAACCCCTCTCGACTCTGCTTCAGAAGCCGTGGCTCCTTCAACCGCTCCTTCCGTGACCCAGAGTGCTTTCCCTCTCGAATGTGCCGCACTCGCATCCCCACCGCCCTATCAAGCGCTGCCAGCACAGCATCTGCTGCTGAGTCAGCATCACCTGCTGCCAGCTCAGTGTTGGAGTTCGCCAGCTCAGCCCCATCTCCTGCCAGCTCAGCATCTTGGTTCACTCCGTCAGCTGTGGCTGGTCGCTGCCACGTCAGCAGCCGCAGCACAGTTTCATCCTCCCACTCGTGCATCCTCCATTCCCACTCATCCTCCCCTTCTCTCACTCCCTCCCTCGCTCTTGCTACCCCCCCCCTGTTTTTTGCGGCCCCACCGTTACTAGAGAGATCAGCAGCAGGCGAGAGAAGAGTGCTGTAGATCCCACAGGGCAGCTCCTTCCAATATCCAAACTCAGACAAGCTGTTTGGCTCAAGAGCCGGCTTCGGATTTGATTCACCTGCTCCCCCTGCCAGTTTCCCCTGTGCTCTCTCTCCAACCTTCCCTCCAGTTCTCCCTCTGCATTTCTCCCCTACTCTCTCCGCTCCTCCCACTACTGCTGCCCCCTTCGCTCCTCCTTCTGCTGCTCCCCTCCCTCTGCTCACCTCTCCTAGCTCTTCTGCTGGCTCTGCAGAAGAGGGGAGAGCAGAGGGCAGAGAGGAAGAGAGAGCGGAGGGGCACACACTGCTGACAACAAAGATGCTTCGCCACAGCAAAGGTGCAGCTGCCCCCTTCGCTCCCCCTTCTGCGGCTCCCTCCCCCCTGCAGCTGCAGGTGGTGGTGGCGACATTGCCTGTGCTGGTGCTGGTACTGAAGCCATTGCTTCTAGTGTTGCCGCTACTGTTACTGCTTTCTCTACAGGAAACGGTGCTGCTGCCAGTGGAGCTCACACTAGAGCTCGTGCCTATCCTGCTGCTGCTACAGTTGCCACTGCTGCTGCTGCTGCTGCTGCTTTCGCTGCTGTTGCTGCTGTTGTGGGAGGTGTGACTGTTGTTGCCACTACTGCCGCAGGTGCGACAGCTGCTACAGCTGCCACAGGTGCGACAGCTGCTACAGCTGCTACAGCTGTTACAGCTGCTACAGCTAGCACAGCAGCCAGCACAGCTGCCATCACCCCCATCGCACGGCCCATGGAACAGCAGACTGCGCCGCCCCATGAAGTCACGGGCCAACCAGAGCACGCCAGCTGTCGCCTGCCAGTAGGCCAGGGCAAAGGGGCCGCGGAGGGAGGAGAGGAGACGGGGGATGGAGTGGGGGTGGCCGCAGAGGGGGGTGGGACGGGCGGAGAGAGGGGAGGAGGGGAGTGCAGGGGAGTGTGCGAGGGGGTCAATAGGCGTGGCACTGCTGCTACTGCTGCGACCAGTGCTGGTGCTGCTGCTGCAACTACCAGCGCTGGTGCGGCTATTGCTGTTACCAGTGCTGCTGCTGCTGCTGCTGCTGTTACCAACAGTGGTGGTAATACTGACGTCACTAATCTTGGTGGTCGCTGTGATGGTGCTTGGGTTGAGAGAGGGAGAGGTGGAGCGAAGGGAGCGAGGGGAGGGGCGGTAGCAGGGGCAGCAGGAGGAGAGGGCTGAGAGAAGGGCCAGGGAGTCATTCTCACTGGGTTGGAGACCGGGCAGCCCACCAAAGATTTCACCTGTCCGTTATGGGGAGGAGAAAGATATGGGGGGCTGATGAGTGGGAAGGGAAGGGGAGGAGAAGGAAAAGAAAGGAAGCTGAAGGAACCGGGGAAGGGGGAGACAGGAAGGCATGGACACAAGACTTGGGATGGTGACCATGCCGTACATGCAGGCATGATGGGACGACAAGGCATGGCAAGGCATGGCATGGCATGGCATGGCATGGCAAGGCATGGCATGGCATGGCAAGGCATGGCATGGCAAGGCATGGCATGGCATGGCATGGCATGGCAAGGCTTGGCAAGGCATGGCATGGCATGGCATGGCATGGCACACGTACCATTGAAGAGAAGCACATTGCCATGTTGGTCCATCAACGGTTGAGTCACCTCCCCTGCCTCTCCCCCTCTATCCACACCTCTCTCTCTTCCTCTCTCCTCCCCCCCCTCTCCCACTCTCTCATCCCCCCTCTCTCCACTACATACTGCTTGCTCCCCAGTTCCACCCTCCCCAGTTCCACCCTCCTTCCTCACTGCATTCTCCTGCACCCCTTCGCCTCCCCTCCTCTCCCCTCCTCTCCCCCCCCCCTCCTCTCCTCCTTCTCCCACCCCTCCACACACCCCTTCTCCCTCTCCCCGCACCTGCAGCACGGCACCCAGCAGCGACAGGCGGGTGACGGGGAGTGGAAGATTTTCTCGCAACTTGCGTTCTTCTAACAACAACGAGTGTTGTTCCTGTAACGAGCGATCCTGTAAATGCTGTTCTGGTAGAGAGTGAGCTGCTGCAGCGCCCACATTTCGCTCATGTTGCTCGGGCAAGCCCACTTGAGGAGAGAAAGCAGGTGAGAAACCAGGTGCTTTTTGGGTTGACTCAAAAGGCAGTTCAAGAGGAGGGGCAGCGACTGGTATGACACAAGGGACTTGCACCTGCAGGGGAGGCAGCTGAAGGGAGAGAGCAGAGGAGCGGTCGGGGCCTCTGCGGTGGAGAGAGGCGGCGAGGGACTCGATAGAAGGCGACCCGATACAGGCACACACGAGGTGAGGCGCTGCGGATTGTTGTAGCAGAGATGGTTGTAGCACAGAGGCCGTTTGGCTGTGAGATGGTGATGAGGTGATGGGCTCTTGAGCCGTGTCTTGGTTACACGTGGCGCATCCTGATTGGCAGGAGTGAGCCTGCTACAGTGACATTGAAAAAAAAAAAACAGAGGCAAGAAACGTAGGAGCAAAAGTTTTCTTTAGCAGCAAGCAATTTTCTAGCTTCTCAAGAGGAATGCAGCCAAGGCTTTAATTCGTCAACACTTGTACAGTCAAGGTTACAACTGCTGAAGTGCATACATGCACAGGCGCGCAGAGAAACTCAGAGGTTTGGATTCGGGGTTCAGGGTTCAGGGTTTAGGGTTTAGTCAGGCTAGAAAGGCTCGGAGCATCTTGTTATGCTGGAGCTGTGCATGTACCACAGACGCAGCAGAACAGAGTGTGTGGCATGCCACAAGCCGCACTGCAGGGTACTGCATAGCATTGCTATGTATTGCATTGCATACCATTGCATACCATTGCACACCATTGCATACCATTGCACACCATTGCATACCATTGCACACCATTGCATACCATTGCATACCATTGCACACCATTGCATACCATTGCATACCATTGCACACCATTGCATACCATTGCATACCATTGCACACCATTGCATTGCACTAAGCTGAGCAGAGTGTGTGGGTCTGTGCATTGCATAGAGCCGCCCCACCCCCACCACCACCCACCATTGGGAGTCTACTCTAGATTCAGCCCTTACATTGCCCGAGACCTTTCCTCCCCTTTTACCCCCCGTCACCAATCATTATGGGCGCATCTTGAGGGGCGCATCTTGAGGGGCGCATCTTGAGGGGCGCATCTTGAGGGGTGCATCTTGAGGGGTGCATCTTGAGGGGTGCATCTCTGGTCAGACAATCCGTGGTTCACCCCAGCAATGGGTCTCTTGCTCGCACTCCATCGCCTTACTCTAGGTCGCTCGCAGTCGCACGGCGCGTCGCACCCACTGCCTGTGCGACCATCCTCGCCTGCTCGCAGTCGCTGGGCGACGAGGGCGATGCCGCACATGGCGCAATAGCGGGTAGGAGGAGACGATAAAGGGAGTCCCAGGAGGACGGCGAAGGATCTATTATTGAGGCGCGTCGAAAGGCGAAGATAAGAGTAATCCGGGGAGGAAGCCGCCGAAGGAAACGAGGCGAACGAGGCTACGGGGGAATGCGAGGAGAGGACGCAGTAGCAACGAATTACTGCCAAGGACAAGGTGTAACTACGAGGAGAGGATTAGCGAACGTCGCTCTCCGTCTATCAGTCTGGCGCCTTAGGGAGGGTTGACGGCTTATAATTGCGCTCTCATTTTGAGGCGCCTCAAAAATAGGCGCCTTAGGGAGGGTTGACGGCTGATAGTTGCGCTCTCTGGCCGACGATCAACAACGTTGAGTGCCGCTCGTGCCGTTGTTGTCGCGGTCGCTGTCGCTGCTGCCGTTGCTGAGAATCTGAACCGGTAAACGACCGCGGTGCGCTACGTACGCAACGAGACGCGTATTTCGCCGAGGCTCGAGACGTCTCGCAACGAAGCCGCGGTAATCTGCGGAGCGCGTGCCGAATGCGGAATTAATCGCGCCATAAGAACGAATTAGCTAATACCAGCAAGGACGGAGTTTCCCAGTCTTATCCTGAGAACGGGTCGAAACCAGGGTCTAGTATGGGTCGCTGCTAGTTTTAGTATGGCTCTCAGGAGTAAGGGTCCTCTCACGAGCTCTGCCTACTCCACTTGGGAGAATCTCAAGGTTTTTAGTTTCCTGAGCGCATTCTCAGCGCTCCTAAGACGATTGTTCTGCGTTCTCGCGCTAGACGCGGATTAAATTATGTGCTGGTTACCAGAACGACGAAAGACACTTTCAAACCAATCCCATTGGTCCTTAAGATGTCACGAAAGAATTGGCGGTGCGTTTGTTACCTCTACGAAACCACCAACCTGCTGATGAAGATAACATAGCACGTTCGCACATCTCGCATATTGGACGTGAATGCTGTCGCATCCCCCTTACGACGTGAGCTTCGAATGGCACTGATATCGAACCGCCTGACACGAAATGCATTTGGCGCAACAGTGGTTGACAGCGGGCCCCTGGCAAAGTGTCAGGAATTCTCTTCAAGTCCAACGGCAGTATCTAGGTGGCTATTTTCCAATCGACTTCGCATCAGTCGCCTCTTATTCGTCCGCGCTTTGCGACACTTATCTTATTCGTTACAAGCACAGCTCAATGGACGCGCGCGCACTTGCACTCGCATCCTCCGCTCTCTTCCCAGCGCGGAACTTTCCCCAGGCCCCCGCTGCGCGTGCATCTCCCGCCAATGGGTCTACGCGCAGCCGCATTTCCGCTATTGCGCCTATCCGCGCATCAGCGCAGGGGGAAAACCAACCCTCCGCCACGTCAATAGCGGCCGCAAGCCCCTCCACTTCCGCCACGCCCCTCTCCGCTGTTCCTTCCGCCGCTTCCCTTTCCGCCGATTCCCCCCAAGCCCTCACCAGACGATCCGCGCTCGCGGGCGGAATCCTCGCGCTAGCTTCCGTCACCCTCTCTCCGTACCTCCCGCTACCCTCCCTCTCCCCCGCCGCTCACGCTGCCGCTGAAACCGCTACGGCGGAAACCAGCGCGGGAAGCGACTTACTGAAAGGGGTGCTATCCGCCTTCGACTCGGAGGAGACTACAGCGAGCGGGCGGCGGCTCCCTAAGGCGTATGTTCGGAGCGTGACGGGGCTGGTTGACAGCCTGCGGGACGCGCTCGGCGCGGAGGAGGGGGACAGGGGGGAGTTCCGGCGCAAGGCGGAGGTGGCTAAGGCCGCGATCCGGGGATACCTGGGGGAGTGGCGGGGGAAAGCGCCGCCAGATACCGAGGTGAGAGCAGGGGGAAAGGATACGCGGTAGCCGCAAAGGAGGGGGACAGAAGGGGGGGGAAAGGGGGAGTGAGAGGGAGGGCACAGAAGGCGTATGTTAGGAGCGTGATGGGCCTGGTTGATAGCCTGAGAGACGCGCTCGGCGCGCGGTAGGGGGACAGGGGAGGATTCAGGCGCAAGGCGGAGGTGGCTAAGACCGCGATAAGGGGATACCTGGGGGAGTGGCGGGGGACAGCGCCGCCAGGAACAGAGGTGAGACCAAGGGAAGGGTTGGGGGGGGAGGGGGGGGAGGGGGGGGAGGGGGAAAGCGTGCTTGGGCGAGTGGGGGGGCGGAAGCGCCAGCAAATACTGAGGTGAGAGGAGGGAGAGTGGGGTAACGAAAGGAAGAGAGCGCGATAAGGGGATTCCTGGGCGAATGGAGGGGAAAGCTCCAGACGACATGGAGTCTAGCTTTGAGGCGCCTCAAGACATGGAGTCTAGCTTTGAGGCGCCTCAAGACATGGAGTCTAGCTTTGAGGCGCCTCAAGACATGGAGTCTAGCTTTGAGGCGCCTCAAGACATGGAGTCTAGCTTTGAGGCGCCTCAAGACATGGAGTCTAGCTTTGAGGCGCCTCAAGACATGGAGTCTAGCTTTGAGGCGCCTCAAGACATGGAGTCTAGCTTTGAGGCGCCTCAAGACATGGAGTCTAGCTTTGAGGCGCCTCAAGACATGGAGTCTAGCTTTGAGGCGCCATAAGACATGGAGTCTAGCTTTGAGGCGCCATAAGACATGGAGTCTAGCTTTGAGGTGCCGCAAGACAGAATGACGCCCTCTCAAAACTAGCTCCAGAAGACATGGAGGTGCGAGGGAGCGGGTTCATTCATTGGGGTCCAGGAGGAAAATCTGAGGCGCCTCAGAAGTCACCTTTTTTTTAGCTGACTCAAAGGTCAGCTCTCGTTCCCACCTGTCCCGTTCCCACCTGTCCCGTTCCCTGGAGCCCATTCTCGCCCACTTGTCCCGTGTCGCCAACCACCCCTCTTGTCAAAACCCCCCCCCCTCCCTCTCCTTCCCCACCCTCCTTCCCCCTCCTCCTCCCCCCACCTCCCCTCCCTCCCCCCCCCCCGCTTTACCCCTGGATCAGACCATCACCTCGTCCCTGACACCGTTCTCAGAACGCCTTGCCGTTTCTGAGTCGACTCGTGACGTTTGAGTCGACTTATGACGTTCGAGTCGACTTATGACGTTCGAGTCGACTCATGACGTTTCAGTCGACTTATGACGTTTGAGTCGACTTATGACGTTTGAGTCGACTTATGACGTTCGAGTCGACTCATGACGTTTCAGTCGACTTATGACGTTTGAGTCGACTTATGACGTTTGAGTCGACTTATGACGTTTGAGTCGACTTATGACGTTCGAGTCGACTTATGACGTTCGAGTCGACTTATGACGTTCGAGTCGACTTATGAGTCATAACGCTCTCCCGCCTCACTCCTCCCCCCCCCCCCCCACACCTCTCTGCGCCCTTTCCCCCCACCACGACAGACCATCACCTCGTCCCTAGACACCATTCTCAGAACGCTCTCCTGCTTCGGAGTCGCCTTGCCCCTCGCCTCAATGCACCGTTTCTCCCTCCTCCCTTCCTCCCACCATACCAGACCATCACCTCGTCTCTCGACACCGTTCTCAGAACACTCTCCCGCTTCTACATGCGCAGTGGAGTTAATGCCAAGCTCCCTGCTGACGTCAGAGAGAAGATCCTTGATGATCTGGCGGTTGCCGAAGCTGCGCTGTGATTGGCCACGTGGAAGCCATAATAAGGGGTCAGGTCAGGTCAGGTAGTACCTACATGCAGTGGGCCACCAGCTGCTGTTAACGTTTGTACTCAGTACTGGGGATCTTGAAAGTCTTCAGCTGATGGATTTTCTTTTGAATGTAATATTTGTTTAGGCATATGATACAAGCATTGTTGCACATGGCAACATAACATACATATGATTAGAATAAACAAACCTCTATGATGACCTTATAGCTCGTGGAGCAGGAAGTGTACCAATGAACGGGCTACCGCCTCTCCCACGGGCCCTCGGATCTCGGGATGTTTATCGGGGAACTCCTTGTAACACGAATAGTGGTGGTCCTTCTTCGGACACACGTCCATGTACCGAGGCGCCTCGATCTTCCACGAATCAAACACTGGGACGGACGATGCGACCCGCTTCCCATCTACAGTAAACGCCCTCGATATTGACGCTTCATCCCATGCTTGAGCTGGTTTGGAGTCTGCTTCTCTATAACCTGTTTCGCTATTACCGGTACCACCTTCTAGAATGCCACCTTCGTCATTATCACCTTTATTATTGCCATCTTCATGCTTCTCACCACCTTTACTGTCAACTCTGTTACCACCTGCTGCCAGCTGCCGCATCAACCGATTTAACTCCATAAGTGCCAAATTCGTCGCCGGCCCAACAAATGCCCCCGGCCCCACGGAGCGAGAGCAGTGGTCGCCCCCATTAGGCACCGGAGGAGCCGTGCGCAGTACTATCGGCTTGCCGGTCCGGGCGGCGAACTGCACTCCCCAGTTGAGATACTCTGGGAGGTGGGCTCGCATCGCTTGGACTGGCTCTAAGCAGCGTTTATTTGCCCAGTAGCCCGCTTCTAGAATGGTGACGTCAGCTGTTGTTGATATATCGTCTGGAAATGTAGTGTTGCGATGGGTGTACACACCCCGATGGCTGAGGGTTGGGGAAGGGGTTTGGGAAGGGGGAGGGGTAGGCCGGAAACAGGGAGAAAGGTTGCGACAGCATGACTGGAGCACACTGGCATCCACACCACACACACAGATGCACGCACGCCCACGCACACCCCCGCACTCACGCACACATGCACACACTCAGGGAAGCACGCACGCACACACACACGCACTCACGCACGCACGCGCACACGCACGCACGTGCACACACACATAAACGCGCGCCTGCGCACGCACTCACACGCACCAACGCCACCCACATGCACCCAAACTGCTCATTGCGGTAGATGCCATCCACCCAATAGAAGGTGGTTTCCTCGTAACGGTAGATGCCATCCACCCAGTAGAAGTTAACCCTCATACTCTCGTTCCGCCTCGATTCCAATCCCGGAGTCCCTAGTGCAGCGGGACCTGCATGCATCCCATACCACACCACCCAGAACCACCCACCTGCACCCGAACTCTTCGTTGCGGTAGATGCCATCCACCCAGTAGAAGTTGATCCTGAGCGTCTCATCCCGCTCGTTCCTCGACTCAAGGCTGAAGTCCGAGTGCCCCTTCCTTATCCTCTTGTCCGCCTCCCCTGACAGCAGGAAGTGCAGGTGGGCCGATAGCACCCGCTGGTGCGAGTCCCCCACTATGTTGATCTCATTGATTCCCTTCTGTGCAAGCCTTTCTATCCAACGGTTGGGAGCGGTTTCCGCTGGCGCACAGGGGAAGAAAGCCCAGCTGGAGATGGATGGGGGCGGAATGGGGGAGGAGGGAGCGGGAACAAGAGTGCGGTTGAGATTCAGAGGAGCAGTCCGAGTGCCCATTGCGTATCCTCTTGTCCGCCTCCCCTGACAGCAGGAAGTGCAGGTGAGCCGCCAAGACTCTCTGGTGAGAGTCCCCCACAATGTTGATCTCACGAATGCCCTTTTCTGCAAGCATGTGTATCCACCGGCTGGGAGGCGTCTCTGCTGGTGCACAGGGAAAGAACGCCCAGCTGGAGTGGAAAGAGAAGGGGAGAAGAGAAGGGGGAGAAGTGACACAGAGAGGGAGGCAGCAGAAAGTGCAGGTGAGCCGATAGGACTCTCTGGTGCGAGTCCCCCACTATGTTGATCTCAAGAATGCCCTTTTCTGCAAGCTTGTGTATCCACCGGCTGGGAGGCATCTCCACTGGCGCACAGGGGAAGAAGGCCCAGCTGGAACAACGGCGGGGGGGTGCAGGGGAGAGAAAGGGGGAGGACTGAGCGGAGGACTGGCGTGAATCATGACGGACTTTCGTTTAGGATCACTCCTGTTTGAGTCGCACCTGTCTACTTCACACTAGGTAGTCACCCTGGGTGGAGTCACTTACGTGTACTTGCCAGTGTGTACCTGCTTCCAACGCTCAGGGATGGAGGAGCGTGCACACGGAGAGGCTAGCTTGCTGGTTAACTACCACAGAGGGCACATGGCACATAGCAAACACAGCAAGGGCACACGGCTAGGGCGCATGGCTAGGGCACAGAGACGCACTGGGTAGATTCACTCACGTGTACTTGCCGGTGTGCACCTGCTTCCACCGACCAGGGACGGAGGAGCGTGTGCAGGGGGAGGCTAGCTTGTTGGAGGAGGTGTTATCTGAAGAGGCAGTATCTGGGAAGGTGGTATCTGGGGAGGTGGCAGTTGACGCCTGATTATTGCCTTCCCGAACCGCCACATCACTAGCACCAGCTGCTGCCACGTCATCCAGAAGGACCCTATCTTCTGATTTTGAGCGGCCAGCACTGTCATCATCAGCAGCAGCAGCAGCATCAACCGCAGCAGCAGCATCAGCCACAGCAGCAGCATCCGCCACAGCAGCAGCATCAGCACCCCCATCGCTACCAGAATCGCCATCACCACGAGCAGCAGGAGCACCAGCCGCAGCAGCAGCAGCAGCAGCAGCAGCAGCAGCAGCAGCAGGAGCGGCAGGAGCAGGAGCAGCGGTAACACCATCAGCAGTGGCAGGAAGCTTCTCGGAAGCCGACTGCTCCGGCCAGCGAATGGAGAGGGTCCACGTGGCAAGGTCATGGCGATAGGTGGACTTAAAATGGGCGGCGAAGGCAGGAGAGAAGTTGAGATTGGAGCAGCCCACGTGGAGAGAGGCTCTGGCGTTTGGGAGGAGGCGGGGGGGGGGGGGGGGGTGGGGGGAGTGGAGGGTGAGGCAGGAAAAGGGAAAGCAGGGCAGAGCGCTAGATAGGAGTGGTCAGCACGAAGCACCACGTATCTGCTGCCGCCAAGGGGAGAAGTTGCGATTGGAGCAGCCCACGTGCAGAGTGGCTCTGATGTCGTGTTGGTGGGGGGGGGGGAGAGGGGGGGGGAGTGTGAAGTGGACGGGAGGACAGGGAAGCCGGTCAGAACTTGGAATATGGGTGGCGAAGGCAGGAGAGAAGTTGAGATTGGCACAGCCCACGTGGAGAGTGGCCCTGGTGATTGGGGTGGGTTGAGGGATGAAGCAAGGGGGCGAAACGCATAGGGGAGGGGAGGGAGGAGCGCAGGGGCAGCACAGGGAGTTGGAATGGGTGGCCAGGGAAGAGAAGTTGGGATTGAAGTTGACAAATTGAGAAACGTGCAACGTGGCTCTACTGTGGGGAGAGAGAGGGTGGGCGGAGGAGAGGCAAAGACGGGGGGAGGCAACGCACCTCTAAAAGATTCTATACATGTCCACTGGACTTACCTATAGCTGCCCACGTCCCACAGAAGGTAGGAGGCGAGCAGGTGCGAGTAGGCCGGGGGGTGGTCCAGGCACTGCCCCTCGCCATGCCCCGGGCGCTGCAGGGAGAGAGGTGGTCCAGGCGCTGCAGGGAGAGAGGTGGTCCCGGCGCTGCATGTCGCCATGGCCGGTCTTTCTTCGCCTTGTCTGCTCTTGCAAGCCAGGGACCCGGCATGAGACAACAGTCTGGTGCCGCGGCCTCACCTGTAGCTAGCTGCCCCAGCTGGTGTCCCACAGACGGTAGGAGGCGAGGAGGTGCAAGCAGGCTGGGGAGTCCAAGCGCAGCCCTGCAGCGAGAGAGTCAGGTCCTTCTGTTGCTGTACCTATAATTGCCACGTCACGTCCCACGATTGCCGCGTCACATCCCACGATTGCCACGTCACATCCAACGATTGCCACGTCACATCCCACGATTGCCTGTGCGCGTCGCGCGTACCTGTGATTCCCCACGTCCCACAGGCGGTAGGAGACGCGCAAATGCGAGCAGGCGGGGGGGTCCAAGCACTGCACCTCCCCGTGCCGCAGAGCCGGGCCCTGCAGGGAGAGAGTCAGGTGCTATTCTTTGCTGTGCTGCTGTCTCAACGCACCTGTAATTCCCCACGTCCCATAGTCGGTAGGAGACGAGCAGGTGCGAGCAGGCCGGGGGGTCAAGGCACTGCACCTCGCCGTACCCCAGAGCCGGGCCCTGCAGGGAGAGAGTCACGTCCTTCTTCCACCAACTGTGCTTGCTGCTGCTGCTGCTGCTGCTGCTGCTACTTTCGTTCCCACTGCTGCTGGTAGAAGTGCTGCTGCTACTGTTGTCGTTGCTGCCGCTGCTCTCATGTCCCTCACTGCCCGCCTCGCTGCTCTCATGTCCCTCACTGCCCGCCTCGCTGCTCTCATGTCCCTCACTGCCCGCCTCGCTGCTCTCATGTCCCTCACTGCCCGCCTCACTGCTCTCATCGCTCATGCTCCTCCCCGCCTCTCCCTCCCTGCTGTTGTTGTCCGTGCTCTCGCTCTCACTTCCCTTCTCATTCTCCCTGCCGCTCTCACTATCCCGGCCGCTCTCATTCTCCCCGCCCTTCGCAACGCCCCTCCAAGGAAGCACCCATTGGGCAGGCGGCCTCACCCACACGTGCATGCTGCACAGATCCCCCCGCACGCACTCACTGCACCCTCTACCACTCACCACCACCCCCTCTGCTGCTGCTGCCGGTGTACTGCTGTTGACCAGGGGTTCTGTGAGGGTTTGGGGGAACATGGGGGTGGCACACGGCAGTGGGTTCTGGTAGTTCCTCGCTGCTCACTGCCTCTGCCCCTCGCACTGCCCCAGGACAGAACCCCCTTGCTGCTGGAGTGCTGCTGCTGTTGACCAGACCATGGGCTCTGTGTGAGGGATTGGGGGCACACGGGAGTGGTGCTTGCTGGTCTCTTGCTTCTCCCTGTCGCTGCTCTGCCCCAAGGCAGAACGCCCTTGCTGCTGCTGCTGCTGCTGCTGCTGACCAGACCATGGGCTCTGTGAGGGATTGGGGCACACGGGAGAGGTGTCTGCTGGTCGCTTGCTTCTCACCGTGTCTGCCCCAAGGCAGCACCCCCTTGCCGCTGCTGCTGCTGCCCCTTATGTACTGCTGCTGCCCCTTATGTACTGCTGTTGACCACAGGGTCTGAGAGGGATTGGGGCACACGGGAGCTGTGCTTGTCAGTCTCTTACTTCTGCCTGTCTCTGTTCCTCGCTCTGCTCCTCGCTCTGCCCCCAAGGGAACGCAACGAGACAGGCATTTGAGTCGACTCAACAGTCGGCACACGGGATAGGTGTTTGCTGGTCTCTTGCTTCTCCCTCTCTCTGCCCCTCGCACTGCCCTCAAGGACACATAACGAGACAGGCAAACAAAACAAGATAGCAAGCAAGCAAGGAACGAAGGTAGTCAAGCACGCACAGAGGCGGGCACTCTAAGGAAAGCACAGAGGCGGGCACTCTAAGGAAAGCACAGAGGCGGGCACTCTAAGGAAAGCACAAGCTTGACAGCTGGCAGACGTGACCTCGTACAGAGAATGCTCAAAGCATTTTGCTGAAAACCAGCTTTTGACGCGTCTGCTTTTGAGTCGACTCAAACGCAGGCGTGACCTCGTACAGAGAATGCATGCACAATTCAATGGTTTCTGCTGAAAAGCTTTGAGATGACTCCTAAATACACTTCATACACGCTACCTGGCGCGAGAGGGAGGGCGTACCTGACAACCTGGCAACAGCTGGAGGGCGTACCTGACAACCTGGCAACAGCTGGAGGGCGTACCTGAAGACCAGCAAATGTGATACAATGCGGCATCGGATGGGCCAAGGGCGGCATCGGATGGACTTTGTGCGCAGTCTGATGCAGCACGCGAGGCGCCACTGCCAACACAGAAAGAGTCGGCGGGGTGAGAGACACGAGAGGAAGGGAGGAGCGGGGAGGGCTTTGAGACTTCTCCAAACGCTGATGCACCACGCGAGGCGCCACGCGAGGCGCCACTGTCAACAGAAGAGGAAGGGAGGGTGCGGAGGAGGCGGCAAAGGAGAGGGGGGAGGAATCGTGGAGGAAGCGGATCGAGGAAGGGAGACAGGGTGTTAGGACAGGGCGACAGGGTGTTAGGACAGGGCGACAGGAGTGAAGGGAGTGGAAATGGGGACGGAGGTCGGATGAATGGGCAGGCTAGAATAGGGTTCGGTTCTCAGGAGTGAAGTGTGTGGTTATGATGGGTGAGTGGCTATCATTTGGACAATGGAAGGGGCTGTTTAATTTGAAGGGGGATGCGCATACGGGAGGAGTTGCGCATGTTGGGGCGGAATGAGCACATGCGGACGGAATGCGCACACGGGGGGGGATTGCGCATGTGGGGGCGGAATTCGCACGTGCGGACGGAATGAAAACACGGGGAGCATTGCGCGTGTTGGGGCGGAATGCGCACAATAGAGCGTGGGGAAAGCGGCTTGCAACAGCTATGCGAAAGGACACGGCCGGTAGGGGCACAGCGAGCAGACCACTAATCTGAGGGGCACCGCCGGTAGAGTTGGCGCCATACTGGGATTACCCTCGTAGAATTCGCCAAGCTAGTCCAGCTATCTGTCTGCTTCAGTATACACTACTATCAACTGTCAAGGACTTTCACATTGGCAGGCCCAATTGGCAAGACAGAAGACGGACGCGGTAGGGCGAAGCAGCTGGTCTTTGATTTTTTTGGAGAACCAACTGCAATTGAGGTACTCGGAAGAAAACAGCAGCGAGAAGGTCAGATGTGCGGCTTGGAGGACATCGCATATTGCGGCGCATGTTACGGCGCATATTCCTTAGTTGAGTGGGAAGGTCGGAGCATTCATTGCCACAACCTGCTGCTGTCGAATCGACGATCGCGGCGAACTAAGCAGCGCTTCTATTGGCTTTAAGTCAACTAAAAAAACGAAATTACTAACACAAGGTCAGGGCACTCGTTGTCACAAACCTGCTGCTGCCGTGATGCCCTTTCGATCTTATCGACGAGCCCGGCGAACTCAGCAGCGCTTCTATTGGCTGCTGCAATCCCCACGCGCTACGCGTTCCCCAGGTCGGTCCGTCGCCCGTGAGTCGCGGCCATACTTCGACCGCTACTAGCAGCAGCAGGAGCACGTTCAGCACCAGAAGAAACGGATGACCTATTCGCGCCGCGTCGATAAATCCTCTGCCGTTTTCCGCCGATTTTCCGTCCATGCGGAATGAGCTAGCTACTAATCGCCAGGCGAAAATTAACATGCTATGTTAACAGTCTAGCAGTCGTTAGGTCACCCGTCACTTACGCCTGAGCTGGTAGAGGTGAGAACATCACCGTGATAGACGTCATCAGACTAACAGCTTTGCCCGCCGCCGACAGATTTCCTGAGGGTGGAAGCAGGACTGAGTGCGCTCGCTTGCGTTCACTTCACTCAGCTTCTTGGGATTCCATTCCATCCTGTTTTGTTCTGTTCTGTTTCAACTACAATTCGCGTTGTGAATTTCGGACTCAAACATTTTCCGCCTCCAAGTTGCCACTCTCTGGAGTCTCCTTCATCAAGGTTTGGTTTGGCCCGGACCTGATCTTGCCCGGACCAGGTCCGTGTGCTGCTGCTGAGACCTTGTTCCACGTCATCGAGCCTTGAATGACACGAGCCAAGTAGACAGGCTCGGCGTGGTCACCCTGGCTCGGCCCCGCTAGGTGGTGGTTTTGTTTGTTTGGTACACTTGGTCTGGTACAAAGCAAGTGTGTGCGCGGTTTGGAGTCGAAGGCACGAAGCGTTGCTCAGGCCCGGCCTTGCTCAAACCAGGTCTTGCTCAGGGCTTGACCAGGTCTTGCTCAGGTCTTGACCAGGTCTTGCTCAAAACAAAACCGCCTGCCAGGCCAGAACCATGCGGAAGGGAGAAACTGAACTTGGTCTGGTTGGCGCGAAATGGGTAACCTGCCCGCCGAAGCTAACGACCTCGATGTGGTTTCGTCGAGTCCATAGTACATGCGATTCGTTCTGGCTCCACAGACGTGGAAGGTTTACGTGTGGCGATCCGTCACTTTCCGTTTCCGTTCCGTCTCAATTACGTCAATGTACTCATTGGTCTTCCCCCCATCGTGGGCCAAACTGCAGCAGCTCACCGCCAACTGCGCACTAAGCGAATGACAGCGATTCGGAATTGCTGCCATTCGCATCGTGCCTACTGGCTACCATCTAGAGTGGCTCGTCGCCCACGTCCACAGCCTCTTATTGGCTACCATCTAGAGTGGCTCGTCACCCTCCGTCATTCGTTCAGCCAATGAAAGTCCTTCTTCCCCAAACCCCTCGCACCTCCCTCCCAACCCAATCACCCTTCTCCCGCTCCCCCTTTCCCCCCATCACGCCCTCGTGTGCCCCAACCTCCCCCCAATTCCCCACTCCCCCACCGAACTAGTCCCCGATGAAAGTTTCTAGTGGTCCCACGGCAGTGGGTGCTGCAGAGCAAAAAATGCCTGACATTGGAACACCCTGTTTGCGAATCGCATCGCATGGATTGGGACAGGAATATGGGCGGGGAGGGGCGATTCGGACTGACTCAGGCAGGGGATTGTGTGAATATCCTATATCCTTTAGGGCGTGTCCAGCGCGTACGTTTTTTGTCAACCATACCCAACCAGTTTAGATTCGTTATTGATCCTTCTGATCCGTGAGGCACCTCACCCAACCGCAATCAAACGTACGGCTAGACTCGCCCTTCTACATCCTCACATGTTCTCCTGAGCTGAGAGTGGGGGATGTGCGAAAGGCACATTTTGCGCCATTCATCCCGTCTTTCTAGCGCGCATTCTGCGCCGCACGGAGCCCAACAGGGCCCACCGGACAGTTGTAGCACGACTCCGCTTCTCGCGCCGGCTGAGTGTAGTGCGCAGCGCAGACGGTTATAACTCCCACACTAGCCTTGCCTCGCAGTCAGCAACCGTCTGTCCGTCGCTTCTTAGAATATTAGCCCGTCTCCGGTCCTCGAAGTCGGAGCCTCGGGCGTGCACGACTTATTCGTTTATCAAGCTCCCCGTTTCAGCTGTACAACTTAGGCGAGAAATCTCCGCGTTCAATCTTCATCAGAGACGCAACTATTACTACAAAAGGTGCTAGTAGCGCTGCGCTTTTTTTCTTGCAGTTGTCGCCATGACCCGCCACGGCGCTCCCCTTCGCGCTGCGAGCCGCATGATACTCGCATTGTTTCTCGTCGCGGCTTTCGCGGCGCTGGTCGCGCCGGTTTCCGCGGCGAAGCAGAGCGACTTCCCCGCGTGCTGGTACACGGGCCTGCCGCCCGCGCGGCCGAATGTGACTGTAACGAGGTGCCTGGACGCGGCGGAGTGGACGTGCTGCTCCGACTGCGACGACCAGAAGTACGCGTTAGTGGAGGCATCCACGGATGGACGCGTTATACTGAACCAGATTGCCGCGGGGCTCGGCGACAAATTCACCAACGTCAATATGATGGTACGCGATAGGGAGTGATGGTCTTATACGTGGAGAGCCGGCCGCGAGAGTTGGAGGCTGGTAGCGAATTGCGGCAATTCGCGGCGAACTTGCGGTGGACGCGACGGGGGGAACAAAAGGCGCGCCGCGGTGCGTGACAACCGACTGTGGTTTGATTGCACCAAAAAGTTTTCCGCCAGGTGTAACGCGAACAGGGATCATCATGAGAAAGGGGTTACTGTTCATATACTTGCGAAAGGTGATGCGGAAAAGTTTCCGAAACAACTGTTGCTGTACCCGCGGCGTTGCTCAACTGTTTATCTCATCACCTTTCGCAAGTACAGCAACAAGTTGAGAGAGTACAACTCAACAGCAGGTCATGATGATAGGTTTCATTACAGAAACGCAATCTATCTCACGAGCAGCGCTTCTCCCCCCCCTCCAACCCCCCTTCCGACACTCCCTCGCATTCGACCTCTCTCCGCCTCTCCGCCCCGTCGCCTCCTTCCTCCCCCCTCTTCGCCCAGGTGTGCGCGCATTTCAGCGGGCTCGAGCGTTGCCAGTTAGTCTTAGCCTCTCTCTCCCCCTCCCCCCCCCCTTGCCCACCTCTTCCCCATTCCCCCACTTCCGCCAATCCACCTCCCCGCGTGAGGAGTCTATTTTTGAGGCGCCTCAAAAATAGTTCCCTGCTCCCCATTGCCCACCTCTTCCCCATTCCCCCACTTCCCCCAATCCACCTCCCCGCCAGGTGTGCGCGCAGTTCGGTGTGTTCCAACAGTGCCGGTTCCTCCGCTGATTTCTGAGGCTTTCACCCTCTCTTCCCCCACCCTCCCCCGCCCTTTCCCCCCCTTCCCCAGGCGTGCCCGTAGTTCGGCGACTCCCAGCAGTGCCAGCCCTTCCTTCGATTTTGGGGACTCAAGAACCGTTCTGCTCCCTTCCCCCACTGTTCTCCCTTCCATCACTCCTCCCCTCCCACAGGTGTGCGCGCAGTTCAGCGAGTCCCAGCAGTGCCAGTTTGACTTACCTTCTTTCTCTCCCCCTTCCCCCCCTTTCCCGCCCTCCCCTCCCTCTCCCCCTCCCCACCTTCCCGCGCCTCTCCGCAGGTGTGCGCGCAGTTCAGCGAGTTCCAGCAGTGCCAGATTCTTCTGGAGCAGGTCGTATGCGCCACGGGATGCAACCCGGGTGAGTGGGAGACGCTCCCAGGGTGAGTCATTCGGCAAGCACGGGCCAGTTTGAGGCGCATTAGAGGAGTGAGAAGGAGAGTGAGAAGAGTGAGGAGAGTGAGGAGAGTGAGACGGAGAGTGAGAAAGAGAGTGAGAAGGAGAGTGAGAAGGAGAGTGAGAAGGAGAGTGAGAAGGAGAGTGAGAAGGAGAGTGAGAAGGAGAGTGAGAAGGAGAGTGAGTGAGCGATGAGTCGATATTTGAGTCGAGTCACCTCATTACAATGTCACACAACACCAAACGTTTCTGCTGTGCGCCCAGAATGACACGGCGGACACAGCTGGCACAGCGGATAGGGTGTGCGCGTTTGAAGCAGTAAGCGGTTCGTGTGAGCGAATAACCTTTGGAAAATAATAATACCAGAAAGATGTTTTAAATAAGTGGAAATCTACACACAAGTCAGGCCTTCTATAAAAGGGCTTTCTTCCGTCCTGAATACCTCGCTCTCTCCATCCCTCGCTCTCTCCATCGCTCGATCATTTCCTCTTTCCCCACACTCCCCCCCCCCGCTGTGCGCTCCCTTTTTGAACCCATCTGGACTCCAGATTCCGGCAGCTATTTCAAGCTGATCGACGGGAATCGCGTCATGCAGGTCTGCAACACCTTCTCCCAGACAGTCTACCAGACGTGCAAGGGTTTGTCATGTAAGTACACCTTTTGTTTTAGGGTAACTTCTGCGCGCGACCACCTGGAAACACGTGATGCGGGTGAGGAACGCCTTTTCCCAGGCCGTCTACCAGACCTGCAAGGGGCTTTCATGTTAGTACACCCTTTTATTGAGGTGACTTCTGTGCTGGGTCACCTATGAGGCGCGGCCTGCCACGCACGCCTCCTCCTCCTAGATCGTGCACCAGCCTCCAAGGGGCTCTCTCGCGTAGCCTCACCCACACTTGTCACTTGTGTAACTGCTATGGGCCGGCGCTCGGAATACCGAAGGCCGCATAGCATAATGCTTTCCGGAATGTGTATCATGTAACAACTTCCCACCCTTTCTTCCTTCATGTGTGTGTCATCCTGACGGATTTGACATCACAATTATTCTCATGGATTTTGGAATCACAACTATGCAGACGGATTTTGGCATCACAACTATTCTGACTGATTTTGACATTACAACTGTTCTGACGGATTTTGACATCACAACTATTTTGACGGATTTTGACATCAGAATCTTCCTCAGCACCTGTTTGTCATCGTTACATCCAAATGCATCATCCGGCCAATCCAAGGAGAAGGTAGGTTGTCATCGCTACATCGTTATCTTAACCTCTTCCCAATCGCTCTTCCTCCCCCTCCCTCCTCATGCAGTACCTGGAGTGGCCACGCTCGGCAGGTTCTTCCCGTCAGCAGAGCCATTCAATCTCCCTCCCTATCCCTCCCTATCCCTCCCTATCCCTCCCTATCCCTCCCTAACCCTCCTTTCATGCAAGATACTTTTTTGGAAAGAGCCTCCATCCAATCTCTCTCCCTATCCCTTACTCCCTCCCACTACGCACTGCCTGGTGTTGCCACACTCGGCAGGTTCTTCCCTACAGCAGAGCGATTTAAGGAGGAATTTATCAATAACTTCGCCATCCAATCACCCCCTCCCCCTCCTCCTTACCCTCTCCCACTGCACAGTGCCGGGAATCGCCATGCTGGACAAGTTTTTCCCATCAGCAGAACGCTTCATGGAGGATCGTTTTGGGACAGCGAGCATACAACTTGAGCCGCTCTCTCCTTTCCTCACCTCTCCCCCTTCTCCCTTTCGTGTCCCCGCTTACAGTGCCGGGAATCGCCACACTGGACAAGTTTTTCCCATCAGCCGAACGCTTCATGGAGGATCTTTTCGGCAAGGTCGGCACCGCTTTCGGCGTCTACAACTTCACTGTAGCTGTAACACCCGACGGCACCGACGCCACACAGTGTTACAACGGGCCAAAGAAGGTCCCCACCATTCCCTTCTGCTGTGACCCACTCGATGTACCCGTTGAGAAGTGCCCCGCTAAGGTTATGAATTTCACCGAGTATCCCGATATGAAGAAGTATATCAATAGGACGGTCACTGACAAGCAGTGCAACCAGTTCAGATGCAGCAGCAACAGCAGCAGCGGTGGCGGTGGTGCTGCTGCTGGTGGCACCAGTAGCAGCAAGCTGGTGGATGGTATCGCATCTCCAACGGATTGCATTCCTGACGCCGGCAGCGCTAGCGGCAGCGCAGGCGACTCGAGTGATGCTGTGAATTCGGCCGGCAGCAGCAATGGGGGCTCGAGTGGTGCTGTGAATTCGAGCAGCAGCAGCAATGGCGGCTCGAATGGTGCGGTGGATTCGAGCAGCAGCAGCAGCGGCGGCAGCAGCGGGAGCTCCCCATCTGGGTCGTCTGGTGGGAAGAACTCCAATCGCGTGCTTTCGGAAGTGTTTTCTGTTGCTGCTGCGTTACTGCTGCCAATGGTTCTGGCAGTGCTGTGAAAGCGTGTTTGGTTGATGGCGGCTCATTCAAAAATAAAAATGTCTTAAAGCCTTATGAACAGTAAGTAAGCTTGTCAACATGGGATGGGTATTTGGGGAGTGAGGGGAGCATATAATCCCGCATGCCACCTGAATGTCATTCAAGTTATGTAATAAGTCACGACGAGGAAGATTACTCCCCCAACATGCAACGGACATAGAAACTTGAATCGTATGCAACTTATTTCTACCATCCAACATCAATTCCTCCATTTTTGCCCGGCGAGTCACATCACATCTTGTATCGAGACACTCCCAAAATCAAACTGATGGTGGCTCTCTGATCTGGCTCTCGCTTGCCAATCTCTCCCATCCCAACATTCGGATTTGAGCCCTTGACGCGGGAACCCGCCCAGCACCTTGGTGCGGCACTAACGCCGGTCTCACCATGTAGCACCATACTGAAACCCACAAAAAACGTCTCCATTGCGCGAAACCGATCTGCACCGTATGACAGCGGTCGTTGACAAGCACTTCAGAGCAGGACCAAGCGCTGTCTATGATTATTAGGCAGTCCCTTCCGCCATAGCGTAGGCCGAAGGTTATGCTAGTACGCCAATACTAATGGAAAAAACATTTTGCCACCCTAAGCCGTAATGCGTCTAGTAGTCCAGTCCAGTCTCGACTCCCGGTTACCTCTCGCAAGCTTCGTCGTTCCGTCGCATGGGGTCGTCGCGGGTGTCGTTCGATAATCTATCGGACGACCTTCTATGCATCATCCTTTGCTAGCTGGATAAGCAGTCAGCTGGCCTCTTCACCCACGCTCTGGTCTGCAAGCGATGGTATCGCATCGCGTGTCTCACGCGGACGTCGATCTCCGTCAGCTGGCCCGTCTCAACCGTCAAATTTCTCCGATCACTTCTTCAGTTCAAGAATCTGACGTCTGTAACGATCAGTGGGTCCAAGATAACCGATCTCGGTGACGCTCTTCTCAGCGGCCTTGGTTCTGCTTGTCCAAAGCTGACGCATTTGGACCTCTATGACGAAAACTACCACCGTCCACCTATAACGAGTACTGGACTGCATGCACTGTTCACCGGCTGCACCGAGCTGCAGACGCTTTCCGTCAACATTCATGACGAGATCAAACTGATGCCGTCATCCTTCTTCCGTCTATCCTCCTTAACGGACGCCAATCTCAACTTCGGCCTCAGCGATTTCCCTGACGAGTTCGGCGGGCTGAAATCGCTCAAGAAGCTGACACTTGAAGAAATGTACATCGGCAATCTGTCCGAGTCTTTCGGTCTGCTCACCGCCTTGACCGAGCTGAATTTTTCCACCTGCAAGGAGCTGTACGATCTCCCCGACTCCATCGGCGATCTCTGCTCGTTGAAGAAACTGACAATCTTCCATGCAGAGTCGTTGGAGGTTCTTCCTGACCAGCTCGGCCGGCTCCATAATCTCGAAGAGGTTCAATTCTTATTCAACGAGTCCCTCTGCCAGCTCCCGCTTCCCTTCTTCCGCCTTCCTAAACTCAGAATCCTCAATCTATGGGAATTGGGAGATCTACCAGAGCTCGAGGGTGACGTGTCAAATCTCGTGGCTCTGGAAACCCTTTCCATTGACAAATGCCGGTTCACCTCTCCCCCTGCTTCCCTCTGCAAACTCCCGAACCTCCGTTGCCTGAAGGTTACAGACTGCATGGCACTCAATCACCTCCCACGGAGCATAGGGAGCTTGCCATCGCTGCAGCGTCTGGAGTTGTCCAACCTCAGAAACGTTAAGCGTCTGCCGGGAACCATCTCAAAGCTGTCCAGCCTCCGCTCCTTCTCCCTGAAGAGGTGCAATGGCATCACCACGCTCCCGGCGTCTCTCTTCCAGAACTGCGGGCTCCTGACGGATATTGAGTTCGACTGGCCGTCGAGCTGTGTGGACGGCAAACAGGCTGGAAAACTGTCTCCTGCTGAGGCTTTCTTATCCTCGCTTTGCAGGATGTCCAGCCTGGCAGTCCTCGCTCTGTCCGGCTTCCCCCGCATCAGTACGCTTTCCCAGCAGATCGGGAATCTCTCGCAGCTGAAGCAGCTGAAGCTTTCTTCCTGGCCCAACCTGGCAGGCTTGCCTGATTCTATGTCCAAGCTCACAAGCCTCGAAAGCCTTGTGATCTCGTTGTGCCCGGCTTTCAAGGACAAGGCTGCTGCGATTCTTGAGCTCCCGAATGTGAGGGTTTCGCTGTCTTGCAATCACTGGGAGCCGGAGGAAGAAGAGTGGGGGAGCGAGGACGAGGAGGGTGAGGAGGAGGATGGACTGATGTAGAAGCAATGGCCGTCGAATAGGGCTGGTTATTTTTCTTGAGGAGCCTTGCATATTGTTTAAGGAGTGGAGACGGATTTGCAGCGTGAGACCGATGTAGAGTATTGATTTAGACTTAGCTTGGTGGCTTAGTGCTCCTGTAGAGCAGGAGGGTTTCATTGCCGGTAGCAGCAAGAAAAGGGGAAGGGGAAGGGGAGGGGAGGGGAGGGAAACTGGGTGTTGAGGGGGGGAGGGGAGAAGGGGAGGGGGAGAGGGAGGGGGGGGAGGGTAGTGTATATTGAGGTTTGACTGTGCAGTTCACTATGGTACCAGGGAAGTCTTTGCATGTCAGCACACAAGTGGAGCGCCATTGCCTGCTTTGCTATGGTGAGTCCTCTGCAGCTAGTTCCTTACCTTTCTTTTTTTGAGTTGGTTTTATGTAACTTCTGTTGAAGATATGTACTGGGTATGTCCTCCTATAGAGTTATTGGACTCCATCTTGGACCAGGAACCTTCCCATTTCCCAATTTCTATGCTGATGTTTTCTCAATGAACTTCGTTCATTTTAATATGCAACGCCCCATTCCATTCCATCCAACTCACATGACCTCGTCTCACCACCACCTGCGTTCTTTCCACATTCCCCCATAGCCTCCAATAGCCTCCACAGCCTCCTTCCTCATGCATTCTTTCTCACAATTGCCCGGATTTCTATCTTATCTGAACCCCACTTATCTCGCCGTTTTGTCCACTTGCCTCCCCGCGTTCGTATCATGTGTGACCCTTTGCTAATGTCTCTTCCTCTCCTCTTTGCCCCTTCTGTGGTGAACAAGTGTTTTTCATGCTTTTCCTGTTCTCCCTTTTCCTCTTCTGTCCTCTCCTTTCCTCTCCTTTCCACCCTTGCAGTTCCCTCGTACATAGTATGCCCGTTCTGCATTCCCCTCTCCTATCCCATTCTCCTCCGACTCTGTTCTTCTCTCTTCTTTTCTCACTCTCTCATCCCCCATCATCCTCTCCCCCCCTCCCCCCCGTCCTCCACCCCCCCAATCTCCCCTCTCACTGGCAGACCAGGACCTTTCGCAGCTGCAGGGCCTGAAACCTCACACAAATTTTTAACCTACTTGCTTGTGGCCATTCTGTTAAATAATATAGGTTGTAAATCATTGTAGGTCTGGTAGGTGTTACTGAAACCTACTGTAGAGGGTACAACCTGTCAAATATATGTATAACTCATATTTGTAAAGACTGTATAGGGTCATCTCTTAGAGGGTACAACACTCTTAGGTATATACCCTTGTTCTCTCCCTCTATTCAACTATTCGTTTCTCACTCTAACATGGTATCACGCGTAGGTTAGGATCCCCCACCTACCGCTTCCGCCCGTACCCTAGCTAGACCTGTCGCGCCCCTCCTGGGCCCCGTCGCACCCCTCCTGGGCCCCGTCGCTCCCCTCCTGGGCCCCGTCGCGCCTCCTGGCCCCGTCGCGCCCCCCTAGCCCCGTCGCGCCCCTCCTGGGCCCCGTCGCGCCCCCCTAGCCCCGTCGCGCCCCTCCTGGGCCCTGTCGCGCCCCCCCTAGCCCAGTCGCGCCCCCCCTAGCCCAGTCGCGCCCCTCCTGGGCCCCGTCGCGCCCCCCTAGCCCCGTCGCGCCCCTCCTGGGCCCCGTCGCGCCCCCTAGCCCAATCGCGTCCCTCCTGGGCCCCTGGCGCGCCTCCTAGCCCGTCGCGCCCCTGGGCCCCTCGTGCCTCCTAGCACCCGCCGCGCCTGCCCGGCCCCGTCGCGCCTCCCTCGCCCCGCCGCGCCTGCCTGGCCCCGCCGCGCCTGCCCGGCCCTGCCGCGCCTCAAAGCCCCGCCGCCCCTGACTGGCCCGCCGCACCTGCCAGGCCCTGCCGCGCCTGCCTGGCCCCGCCGCACCTGCCTGGCCCCGCCGCGCCTTCTGGCCCCGCCGCGCCTGCCTGGCCCTGTCGCGCCGCCTGGCCCCGCCGCCCCTGACTGGCCCGCCGCGCCTACCTGGTCCTGCCGCGCCTGCCTGGCCCCGCCGCACCTGCCTGGCCCCGCCGCGCCTTCTGGCGCCGCCGCGCCTGCCTGGCCTCGCCGCACTGCCTGGCCCCGCCGCGCCTGCCTGGCCCTGCCGCGCCTCTTGGCCCCGCCGCCCCTGACAGGCCCGCCGCGCCTGCCTGGCCCTGCCGCGCCTACCTGGCCCCGCCGCACCTGCCTGGCCCCGCCGCGCCTTCTGGCCCCGCCGTGCCTCCTGGCCCCGCCGCCCCTGACTGGCCCGCCGCGCCTGCCTGGCCCTGCCGCGCCTACCTGGCCCTGCCGCACCTGCCTGGCCCCGCCGCGCCTACTAGCCCCGCCGTGCCTCCTGGCCCCGCCGCCCCTGACTGGCCCGCCGCGCCTGCCTGGCCCTGCCGCGCCTGCCTGGCCCCACCGTACCTGCCTGGCCCCTTTCGACCCGGCTCGTCCTGCAGTGCCGCCTCGGGCTCTGTCTCCTCCGCTCGCCTGTGCTGAGGCGCTTCGTGGCCCCTGTGCTGGAGGGGGCTGTAGCTGTGTTCCTGTGGAGCCGTGCCGCTGACCCTGCACGATGGCAGACTTCGTGCTCCGACTGGACGCCGAGGGCCATGCGGTTGACTTCGCCGCCTGGCTCTCCGACCTCCGCCGCCACCTTACAGGTCAGCGCCAGGATGGCCACTCTTTGGTTGTCCATGTTGACGGCTTGCTCCCCCGCCCCCCTGTAACTGCCCCCCTCCCTGCTGATCCCTCATCTGATAACCGTGAGACCTTCTCTACTGCTGCGCTTGCCCGTGCGGTCTGGGACTCCCGCGATGCAGTCGCTCAGGTAGCCATTAGCCATGCCCTCCCTGTCTCTGAGCGCTCGCGTTTTGCTACTATTGAGACGGCCAAAGCTTACTTAGACGCTCTTGTTGCTTCGTTCCCGCTCGTCTCGTCCTCCTCTCCTCCCGTCCCCTCCTCCCTCGTCCCTTGTTGTTGCACCTCCTCCGTTCTCTGACTACCTCCGTGCTGCTCGTCCCCTTGTCCCTCGGGTCCTTGCCTCTCTTGTTACCGACCCTGCTGTTCCTGTCTCGCGCCTTGACGCGCTTGTCGCTGCTGTCGCTGACTTCGCCTCTACCCGCCGCCTTGACTACGCTACCGCTCTGGTCTCTGACCCTGCCCGTCCTCCGTCCGTCGGGGGTGCTCCTGCCCTCGGCAGCGACGTCCTAGAGGACAGGCAGTACGAGCTGGCTTTCCTGTCCGAGGCTGCTCCTCATCTCTGCTCCATGCTTTTAGTCCCTAAGGGTGACCCAGACGCCTTCGACATCCCGACCCCTCGCACCTACGCTGAGGCCTGGAAGAAGTCAACCCCCTCGCGCTGACTGAAACCTCTGGCCACGTAGCGCGCCTTGAAGACAGGCGGCTCTCCTGGGGGGCGCTTCACCTTGAAGAGCCACCGACCATCGACTACGTTCACCCCAGGCGGGGGAACTGCGTCGACGTAAGTGCCGGTGGACCTCCAAGATGCCATCTCCTGCTCCATGGCAGCTATCCACTGAGAGGCCCAAGGTCCCGAGGTGGCCTCAGCGTAGGTGCGAGGGGTCGGGATGTCGAAGGCGTCTGGGTCACCCTTAGGGACTAAAAGCATGGAGCAGAGATGAGGAGCAGCCTCGGACAGGAAAGCCAGCTCGTACTGCCTGTCCTCTAGGACGTCACTGCCGAGGGCAGGAGCACCCCCGACGGACGGAGGACGGGCAGGGTCAGAGACCAGAGCGGTAGCGTAGTCAAGGCGGCGGGTAGAGGCGAAGTCAGCGACAGCAGCGACAAGCGCGTCAAGGCGCGAGACAGGAACAGCAGGGTCGATAACAAGAGAGGCAAGGACCCGAGGGACAAGGGGACGAGCAGCACGGAGGTAGTCAGAGAACGGAGGAGGTGCAACAGCAAGGGACGAGGGAGGAGGGGACGGGAGGAGGGGAGGACGAGACGAGCGGGAACGGAGCAACATAGGGTGGGTGGGCAAGACAGGAGAGACGGGACGAGCACGGGAGGGACGGCGAGCCCAAACGTGAGACGGAGGTGGAGGGTCAGGGGATAGCGGAGGAGACACAGGAGGGGAACGAGGAGGAAGACGGGCCGGAGACGAGTCCGGCGGCGGGAACACAGGACCGTAGACAGGAAGGTCAGCAGGCGGTGGGGGAGACACCGGCGCGTGGTCCGGGGAGGGAAGGCCAAGCAGGCGGAGAGCGGAGACCGGCGGCGACGGCTGCTGCGGCGGCGACGTCGGCTAGGCCGGAACTCTCGGACCAGCAGAAGCAGAACGACCGTCGGCAGAACACTCAACAGCAGCACCCCCAGAACCAACACCCCCAGAGCGAGAACCCCCTCCAACACCAGCGGCACCCCCAGAAGCCGCAGGACGAACACCCTCCTCCACACCAGCACCCCCAGGGGCCAAGAGCGGCGGCGGCAGTGGCCGCGACGGCTGCGGCGGCGGCGACAGCGGCGACGGCTGCGGCAGCGACGGCGACGGCGGCGGCAGCGGGGTCGGCGACTACGACAGTGGGGGCGGAGGCACCGGGGAAGGGGGACGCGGCAAGGACGGACGGGGGGTACCACCAGAGTCAGCAGACTCCTCAACGGGGACAACCGACGGGAGGGGAGTGACGTGAGAGACACCAAACGGGGCAGGACGAGGCGGGAGAGGGGCAGGGGCTACCGGGGGAGAGGGAGCAAGGAACAGGGGGGGGGCAACTGGGAGACCTCGGTGAGGGAAGCGGCGGTAGAAGGAGATGGACTCGTCAAAGGTGACGTCACGAGAGTGCAGGAAGCGGTGAGACGGCGGGTGGTAGAAAAGCCAGTCAGACGAGTCCAGGGGGAAACCGAGGAAGACACAGGGGACAGTGCGGGCAGTGAGCTTGTCCGTGCTAGAGGCACAAACGTGAGCAAGGCAGCCCCAGACGTGGAACGCAGACGCGTCACCGGGGAACCCGGTCCAAACCGGCGAAACCGGCGGGCCTAGGGGTGCCGCTGGTGCTGGAGGGTGTTCTCGCTCTGGGGGTGTTGGTTCTGGGGGTGCTGCCGTTGAGAGTTCTGCCGGTCCGAGGGTCGAGGCCCAGCCGCCGCAGCAACCCCAGCAGCCGTCGCCGCCGGTCTCCGCTCTCCGTCTGCTCGGCCTTCCCTCCCCTGACCGCTCGCCGGTGTCGCCCCCACCGCCTGCTGACCTTCCTGTCTACGGTCCTGTGTTCCCGCCGCCGGACTCGTCTCCGGCCCGTCTTCCTCCTCGTTTCCCTCCTGTGTCCCCTCCGCTGTCTCCTGACCCTACACCTCCGTCCCACGTTTGGTCTCGTCGTCCCTCACGTGCCCGTCCCGTCTCTCCTGTCCTGCCCTCCCACCCTATGTTGCTCCGTTCCCACTCGTCTCGTCCTCCCCTCCTCCCGTCACCTCCTCCCTCGTCGCTTGCTGTTGCACCTCCTCCGTTCTCTGACTACCTCCGTGCCGCTCGTCCCCTTGTCCCTCGGGTTCTTGCCTCTCTTGTTACCGACCCTTCTGTTCCGGTCTCGCGCCTTGACGCGCTTGTCGCTGCTGTCGCTGACTTCGCCTCTACCCGCCGCCTTGACTACGCTACCGCTCTGGTCTCTGACCCTGCCCGTCCTCCGTCCGTCGGGGGTGCTCCTGCCCTGTTGTCAGCGTACAGAACCGGGGCAGAGCTAGGCCGCTCACCTAAGTCGGCAAGCAAGAAGGTCAGCCAACGAACCTCCTGTGCCGCCATCACAGCTAGACTGGGCAACAAACGAGGAGCGAGTGGACCTCCATGAGATGGCCCCTGAACCAAGGCTAAAGCAATAGCCCTGGGAGGACCTGAGGGTCTCAGTATCGTCTGTCCAAGAAGCGTCTGTGTGCCCCGTAAGGACGACTGGTCTGCATCCTCCAAGCACTAACCTCATGCCCGATGTACTTGCTAGATAACGCAAAACCCTCTTAGCGGCCGACCATTGATGTGGTCGGTGTCTGCATATGGCCACAAAGCGAGCCAGGATGCTGAGAGGGTATGCGAGATCTGGACGAGTGCAAGTCATCAGGTACATAAGGCAACCCACAAGCTCTGCGTAAGGACCACTGGGCTCTATTGACTCCTCAGGAACTGGAGCTGAAAGCCTGTCATCTACTGGCAAAGGTGTGGGCTGTGCGGAGGAGAACTGAAGACCGAACCTCTGAAAGACCTAGCGCACCAAGTGTGACTGTGTGAGAGTGAACCTCTGAGTGCAGGTGTGTCTCCTCAGCAACTCAGGCTTTACAGAGGCCAGT